CCCGTGTATGGGCCTCGGTGCTTTTGGGATGCCAGACGAATACAGAACTTGCAGCCAGCCTTTGGAGCGACGCAAACTGTGGGAGAAGGGCGTCAACCCCATCCGTCCCGGACTGGCAAAATTCAATTGAGGCTGATTGCGCAGTACCTGGGTCCCGGCGAAACCGGCGCGGGATCTCTTCTCGAACACCTCCCTCATACTGTAGTCGATTCGCCTACCTACCCTCTGTCGCTTAGCTATCGGTGGCTTGCTCATGCAGCATCACCGACGAACCATTCTGTGGCAGCCTGCGCTTTTTCGATCCCCAGGCTTGACCTTGATCACGCAATGGCCTCTGAGTGCCCACATCAGGACCCTTTGCATCGTCAATCGCTTGAGCAGGGATGACGTATGGTCCCGTTGTGACAGCAGTGCGCTGTCCAACGCACTCTGAATGAGACCAAGCACAAAAGCACTCCATCTCCACAATGCGTCTACGGGCCGGCTTCCCTTTCCAGCGGGTACGCATCGTCCTATCTAATGACGCGTGCTGACAGCGGACAGCGAAGTTCCGTTTGTCCAATGCTCAATTTCCCTGGCTATTTACCCGCACCCAACGGCGCATATCTCAAGGGCGGCGGCTCCAGCCACAACGCCGTCTGAAGAACTAGACTGCAGCCAGAGTACCCAACAACTAGGTACCAGTATCTGGTGGTTACCAAGGTGTCGAGGTTTATCAAGCGGATAAATAATTGCATGCCGGGTCGAGCTGAGTAGCTGAGTGTGACCAATCTGTAGGACGTGCATCAACGGCAAGACTTTGTCCTTTCGCATAGGATGGCGGGTAGCACTAGGAGTCCCTTCAACACGTGTCGAAATATCTACTGGACACCCCACCACCGTCGCCGAACAAATTCCACGCCAAACAATTTGGTTGGACTTCGCGATGCGCGCATCGCTTGTCGCGTCGCATTGCTCCTCCCTTGTTCAGTGTTACACGGACAAGCAGAAGAGACCCTGGCCCTAGGGCTGACAAGCTGCATCTACTCCGGAGTAGAAGCGCCGCTACAGGAGCGTACGGACATCATCTGCGCGCTCACTCTGTGCGACATCCAAGCATCGCGGCGATACCGGAAAAGCCAACAAAAGCGCAGCTTAATTACCATGCATTTTCGCAAAAGTTGAGCGGGCTCGCGCGATGCTGAGAATTATGTACAATACGATCTCGTTTATCTGTTCGCGAGACGAAGGCAAGGAAAGCCAGGTCAGGGATCACCCTAGCAAGACCGAAAAGCATCGAACGCTTCGAGAACAAAGTTCCCAAGGTTGTACGCCAACCGAGCGACGCAGGCGAGCAAGCCAGCGAGTCCGCCCCGCTCTCGGTTAGAGGACGCCATGGACCGACATCGCTGCTGTTACCATGGCTGCAGGCTGCAGTAATCAACATGCAATAGTATTTTGCAGGACCGGAGATACGACTTTACAGTATGATGACGTTTCGGAGCGACATGGTAGATGCTGAGCGCGATGGCTGCATCGTAAGGGCCTTTGCAGGCACCAGGCCTGGAGACCCTGGATAAGTTCGTATCTTTAGGTTTGCACTACGGCTGTCGCGAACGGACTCCCTCAAGTGTCCCAGAACCCATGGATATAGCTGAGCATCAGCACAGACTCTAGTTCAAGGGTTATAGGTCACTGGCATGACTTGTCGCTGTGAACTTCACGATGTCTCGAAGAGCAGACGTCACCTGCAACTCCACACTCTGGACAACACATTACACTAACATTTCTACAAGTGTACCTCGAGTCGCATCTCTCTTCCCCGTCATCATCACCTTCTTTTGACGATTCAAAACTCTGATGAGCGTCGTCTGTAACGCCTCTACTATTGCGAACCCCATGACGCGTCTAGATGAACACGTTGTCTTTACCAACTGTCATATCGAATCCGAAGCATCCTTGTATGGTCCAAATTCATCTGAAAGGTGGTTGATACTTGCAGCTCATGCGTAGGTACCAAGCACTCCCGTGGTACATTGATCTGGCTCTGCCTGACCAGTATTGCAACTGCACAGCACGAAAGCAACAGCGCATTCGACTAGGCAGACATCATTCATGGTGATTGTACTAGATCACGCTGACTTGACTGTAGTTGTCAAGTATACATTGTTCTAATAAGCTCGCAAGGATTCGTTCAACGTTAGTGGCAAAGATGTGGTCCACAATCATGGCTCGAGTATAGAGAAGTTCTCAAGTATCAGGCATCGAAACGACTGCACGTAACATGGTGTGTTTTCAATCTGTCTCCTCTGAAAACATCTGGCTATTCGCATCATCGGACCTGCAGAAGCTGTGGGTGACTTATCTGCTCGAAAGGACATAAGTGGGTTTGCAAAGAGATTGAACCAGAGATGCTATGTGCGGTACTGTGTTCCAACTTCAGGCTGCCATTTCGCTACCAACGAACGCACCTCACCGCACCTTTATAAAATCAGGACGCCCTTTCTTCCCCGCCTTTCTCAAGATTAGACTTTTTCCCCTCAGTTCACCGCTGTTCTCGACGGCATCTTACCTCGATTCCTGAAGCTTATAGTGGTCTTTTTCTCCTTTAGACATGGACGCAACACTTGAGCAACGAAAGAGGGACGCTCTGGCGTTGCTTTCTGGTATGCTTACTTCAGTTCTACAAGGAGATTTTCCAGTAACAAATCGCCTTTCGGCACAGCCCGTTTCCGCACTCAACGCGCTTCTTGCGAAGCCCACAACAATATCCGAAGCCAACGCCAACGAACGAGATGTCTTCAAGATAGACATGAACGATCTGGATCTCGGCCCCAGTAGCGAGTCAGAAGCCAATTCCGATGAAGATAGGCCGATCAGGAACACTCGGCAGCTCAAGTCTGAGGTACGCAGGCTCAAGGCGATAATTCGAAGAGCAAATCGTCGAACAGCCCGTCGTGCCGCACGAATCGCCAAACACCTGGATCTCAGCCAGGCTGCCGCGGTATTTGACAGTTTGGGGGGCTTGTTGACCCCTCTGCGGGAGCCGCAGCATGTCACAGAAGACGCTCTGGACAAACGCATGCCTGAAGTAGCATCACAGGAGGGTGAAATTGCCGAAGCAAACGGTCCAGCTCCGCCAAATGTAGAGGCTATTAGCTTCACACTCAGCTCTCCAACCGATTCACTCCCTTCCTCCTCTCCCATCTCCACACATAACTCTGACATCCTTGCAGAGGGTACATCATGGCTCTGCAAACCGTGCAATAGCTCCTTCAACCACCTCGACGACTACCGCAGCCACAAGTGGAGTAACGCATACCACCAAAAGAATGTCGCTGATTATAAGCGTTTGCGTCCCACGTATCAAGAGGAGGAAGATGATGGCGGGCAAGTACCGAGCTACGACCCAGTAGGACATTACTGCGTCGACTGCGACTTCAGAACCCCAATGTATGGCGACTATAGACGCCATTTGAGATCTCAGTGGCATGCGAGCTATGTGACCAGGAAGCTACAACGCAGGGGCGGAGTGACGAAAGGTGGGAAGCTACAGCAGTATTGCAAGGACTGCGATAGTTGGTGTGGTAGAATTAATTCGGCTCGTCATTTGAAAGGCCCGATGCATATGAATAACGTTGCGAAGAACTTGCGATTCAAGAGTAATGAGGAAGTGTTTGAAGAGACGGAAACGGCGAGAGACTGCGTGAAGATTAACGAGATGGACGAGTTACGCAGCGAGAAGACCGGCGATTACTGCGAGGACTGTGACCGCTTCTACAAGACACAGGACTGGAGCCGTCATCTGAAGGGCTCGGTACATGCAAGTAACGTTCTGAAGAACAAACATTGCGACAAGAGTATTGTGCTGCCGACTCCTCCGGACTCCATTGTAGAAGTAGAAGGGCTGGAGACTCTACCTTCAGAGCAGCTAGAGCGCTACTGCGAGACCTGTGACATATACCCCGGTGTTCGTTGGGCGCGACATGTGGCTTCTCCAAGTCATGTGTTCAACGCCATCCGTTCCCCCAATCTTAGCAGATGTACTACAGTTGACGAAGACACTACGGACGACGACGAGGTCACCGAAGATGAGAGTATTGCAGAGGAAAGCAGCAGCTTAACAGGGGTAGAAGGATCCTCTTCCTCTTCGGTCATGGAGCTGGTCGAAAAGGTACAAGTGAAGGTACAGGAGAGGGGAGAGTCGCAAGATGAGCACGAGGAGCCTGAACACTACTGCGAAGACTGCAATTGCAGATACTCTGGTATCAAGTGGGAGCGCCACCTAGCATCTGACGAGCATGTTAAAAATGTTGAGAGGAGTATGGTACGGGATGGGATACAATGCGATGAGGATGAAGATGAGGATATGCAAGGCGATGAGATCGTGCAGCACGAAGCAGATGTGCAGATCTCCTCCCATGCCTTGACCTCCTCTCCCGCTTCCTCTTTCCTTCCTCCCACACCGGCAGAATCAGCATGCCCAGAATACTATGTCGGCGGAGTTCCTCCACACCAATCTTCTTCCAGACGTCCTTCAGGAAAACAGGACTGGTACTGCGACATGTGCGATGCCAACGTCTTCGTTAGCAGTACCTGGGCGATTGGTGCACATATGGCTGGACACCAATAAGCATTGTATGAGAAGTGGAAGATTAAGAGTTTGGAATCGAGTAAAAGGTTTCAGGTTGATGCTTAGGTGAGGGAGAAGGATGAGGAGGATATCTGGACACGGCAGTTGGACAAGGCTGCCATGTAGAGGGTTGAACACGACTGACAGTACGTATTGATATGATGGACGTGCTGGTGATAAGACGCAGGCACAACGCTGTTGAGTTACACTGTGTTGTATCGCAGTAGAAGTGTGTTCCCAAACACTCACTTGGCTTCACTGCATGCAGCTGCATACTGACAGTACGTATGGAATATTTGTAAATGATCATATCAGCACAGCATAATCTCTGGAATATTGCACTACCTACGTCATTGTACTAGGAGCTCGCCTTATTCCTGTGTTGCTTTCACAAGTACCAACAAGCTACAGCGATGAACGTGATCGGTACAGTAGTAACCACCCATAACCACCACAGCCCTGTCACCTCGAAAGAAGTCGTATTGGGCGTTAACTGGAAGATTCCAGCACTCAACACAATCTTTTTATTCGTCAGTGGTCATATAGAGATAATTGGTGTGATACTCACAGCGGTGAAAGTTCCAGGTAAGAAGACCATGGTGAGCAGCGCAATCGATGTCATGCTAGTGCTATCTCTCTTCGTCTCGGCGGCAATCTGTATCGTGTTCAGGGTATGCTCTTGCGCGTTCAGATGCGAGATCAAGTTCATGATGACGTCCTTTCGGCCTCTGTAATTCAAAAACCACATGTGCTGTTTCTCCATGCTCGTGACCAGGTAATTGGCCATATCCACCGTCCGCTGCCTCGGTCCTCTTTCGTCTTCGCCCAGCGAGGTGAGCTTCGTCGCCATATCACAGATACCGCGTGCTGTATACAAGAAGACTTGCGCATTGGCAAGGTGTGAATCAACCCCTTGTGCCATGATCTGCACATTTTTCAGCCAACTCGCAAGTTCCATCCTCCCTCGCTGTTCGACACCAGCCAGTTGATCGTCGACTTGGTTAATGAGTAGCCATTGGAATCTTCGGAACTTCGCCACATGCCATTTTTAAGCTTCGAAGTTGAGGTTCAATATCGTGGTGTGGAGATCCATGGGACTGTGTAGTAAGTCGTGGCCGATGTCGTGTCGCTTTTTGTAGCGGATTAAGGTAGAGAATTATTTGCGAAGAGCGAGAATTACTTTGTCGTCCGGTTTATGGGGGATCAAGTAGATGAGCAAATCTCTTTGAGCATTATATCTCGTATAAACAGATAATGGAGCGCCTTGGGCTAGTCGAGATAGTTTGCCATTTTCTTCGCGCCAGCGTGGTTGTGGAGCCCAGTAGTCAGATCGACCAAGAAGATTTTGTAGAAAGTCTGGGTTTAGCTGTAAGGAGCTAAAGAGTCTCTTGACAGCGCATTCTGTCATGGGGACGGAATGTCCGTAAGACGCTGTATCTTTTGTATGCTTCAAGGGAATGAAGAACAAGAGTGCTTTCCGGTTCGATACGGTAATTCTTGGATCTGGTTGCATGCATATAGCTGGTACCTCAACGCATCTCTCGCCGGCTTCTGCTAGTAAGGTGCTGAGGTTGCTCTCATGTAGTGTGAGCCCTCGTGGTCCTTTATCGTCGATAGAGAAACACTCCAATGAAGTCTCAGTGCTAAAATTGGCAAGCTGACCAACGTGTTTCTGATACATAACCCCAGAAAACATATCCTGGAACGAACTGATCGCAGAGGAGGGATAGTTTCCCAGATCTACATCAAAGTCCAAGTCCAGCTCATTCACTTCATGTTCGTTTCCCTCGGCATGTCGTTGCATTTGTCGGCCGTCTTTAGAGATCGGTCAGACTCTGATGTCCTCAGTAATGAGTGTGGTTTCTAGCTTTGAGAACTCGACTTCAGGCATCGCGGTTGGCATCGTAAAGTGGGCGATTGTTTTTGGGACTGCAGCAGGGGTCTGCACTTCACTGGTCATATTATATAGAGTTAAAGTGATCATCGTATCTGCCTGCATCAAGGCTGGCAACAATGACGAGGCAAGTAGACGGGCCAAAATGACGAGGCTGAAAGTCAGCATTGTGAAACCTTATTTGATCGAGCCGATCACCAAGTCACCAAGTGGAAGGCACGCCCACCATGTTACACAAGCCTCAAGCTGATCTATGAACTCTTCCACGTTGTGACGCATGTACGACTTATTCGCTCCGCCTCCGCTAATGCGACGACATTTTGCTACTGCATTAATATCCGGTGCCGGCCAGCTGTTCGAAGGAAACATAGTATTTACAACGCCAGGTCAGCTTCACGGGACTGGAGATTCTGGACAGCAGGCAGATTTTGGTCAGCTTTATTTCGACTGCCGACTTTTGCGTGACACTAGGTCGTCATGGCCGTAACCTGAAGTGCCAGATACGTGTTGGCATTGGTCTGGAGGTCGGTGAGTGTGTTGGTCATGGCCGTGATGACGGTCGGGGAGTGTGTAAGTGCGGCCACAGGACTGGCCCAGTAGAGGAGTTCCTCGGCGACGTACGTCCCGAACGTGCCGCGGATCCTGTCCACCTGCCACGCGAGGTAATCCGGCATGATCTGTTCCCAGGCGTCCTGGAAGTCGTAGGTGATGCCTTGGGTCGCAGCGTAGCGGGTGAGGTCGCCGAACATGGTCGCAATGTTGTTGAAGGTCGACGAGAAGGCAGTCACAACGACACTCTCGCCCCTGTAGTTGTGCATGTCGACGATGTCGAGCAAGATCCCGACTCGATCCTTCGCGTTATAGCCGTTCCAGTTGGACCGCGACACAAAGTCCAGCCCGGCGACCATGTACTCCTTATACACGTTGAAGTCGCGGTCGCAGACCTGCAGGTTCTCGATGAAGCGGTTCCCCAGGCCCGCGTCGGCGGTCCGGCCCAGGAGGCCGGTGAAGAAGTCGTTGATGTTGCCAACCCAATTGTGCGTGAACTGCAGGCTCGTGTAGGTGGCGCTCGGCCAGTTCTGCTGGAAGATGCCGTTAGCGCCGAAGACCTGGGCGAACGGCACGGCGCCGGCCCGGAGCGCGGTACCCCCAGGCGTCTGCCCGGCCGCCATATACTCGAGCGCGTTGCGGAACTCCTGCTTCTCCAGCACGTGCTCTGTTACCCAGTCCGTCGTGGGCGCCAGCGTGCTCAGGCCTGTCAGGCCCACCGCCGCGCAGAGGCCCTGCTGCGCTACCGTCCACGCCTTGCCTGTCGTCCGGATGATGCTCGACGCGCCCGGGTACGTCTGCACCCAAATGCTCGACTTCTGGCCCTGGGGACCGCACAGCGCCATGGCGACTCGTTCCCGGGCGCCACGTTTGGCCAGATCACGAGTGCCGAGGAGCTCGGATGTCTCCATGTACGCCAGCTCTTCGCTGGTTGCCCCTCTCGCCAGGAACACCATAGACGAGTTTGAAGAGTCGACGCCCTGGTCTCTCCCTCGGAGGAGGCGGGTGGTATCTGTGGTCCCGCATTCTCCGTCAAATTTGTGTTCCTCCTCGAAAACGTTGGGAAGGTTGCTTTCTGCCTCTGGGCCGCTCTCGAGCTGATCGAGGTGGCTAGGTCCGTAGCAGAGCTTGACGTCAGGCACTTCCGGCACGGGTGGCTTGTTTGGATCGGAACAGCAGAAGTAGGAGTAGGTGCCTGACCGGCAGCCCCAGCCATCGGTGGCTACGGTCGTCTCCCCGGGCTCGCAGCCCGTCTTGCATTCCGTCGAGAAGTCAAAAAAGAGGTTTCCAATGGGCCCGACAAGCAGTTTTTCCCATTGTACCCATGTGGTGCTTCCAGCCCGCCTAACACGGAGATGTTGAGTCAGTATGTGGTGACGGAGGAGCCGAAAAGGGGTCGGTCATTTGATTTTGGGAAAACTCACCATTTGCAACCCGTCCATGGGACTGGGTCTTTGCAACATAAACTCTTGAACCCTCCGTTATAGGAGCAGCTTTGCTGGCCTCCTTGACCTTGCTTTGCCTTGGTGAGTTCCTTGGGCTTGCTGCTGTCGTCGCCGCAACCGTACGACTGGAACGAGAAGGCGCCTCCTAGCGGACCGAACAGGGAGGGGACAAAGGACTTGAGGGTGCAGATGGGTGCGGCGCCGAACCACTTGCAGGCGTCGAGCACGTCGGTCGAGGCTGTCTTGGTGCAGCAGAGCGACTTATGACCGGTCCAGCAGCCGTCGGTGCTGGCCGAGACCTCGATCTCGTCGTCGCCGCACTGGTTGCTGGGGAGCATGCCGCAGAACTTGGGGCTGCCCTTCCACTTGCATGTGGGCGGGTTCTTGGACGGGCAGCAGAAGTTGCGCTTGCCCTCGGAGCAGCCGAGCTCGATGCCCAGCGGGTTCTTGTTGCCCGACGACTCGGATACCGGGATCAGCCCGGACGGGCAGTTGGCACCGCACTCGCCCCAGACGCACTGGCTCGGGTCGTTCTTTGCCGTCACCGCCAGCGCCGTCACTGACAGGTCCGTCTTGCCTGCCGCCTTGGCCAGCGCCCGGATCGCCGTGCCCTGGTAGTCGTCGGTCGACGCAGCCCAAACCATGACGCCGCCGAGGCACAGCTCGTTGGCGAAGTCCATCTTGGTCTGGAGCGTCTCGTCGTCGTCGTACGAGACCCACTGGTTCGTGTCCCACGTCACCATCTTGACCCCGGCCTTCTCGTCGTGCACCACGTCCGCGCCCGCGTCAACGATCTCCTTAATCTCAGAGAACATCAGGCTGCCTGCCGACGCCGAGCACTTGCCCGGGTTGCCGCCCGCTGAGAAGCCGCAGCCGGGCGTCTTACAGGAGGGGTCGGACAGGGTGAAGCTGCGGCCGTAAAAGCCCATGCCCATAACCACCTTCTTAGGGTCGATGTCGTTGCGCCAGAGGAGGTCCATGGCCAGGTCGACCTCGGTCAGATTAGTGTGCGAGTTAATATATGGCCCCAAATACGGGTTTGTGCCGTCCCAGGTTCCATGCAGGTCGTAGCTCATGATGTTGAACCAGTCCAGGATGGGCTCCATGTTCTTGATGTCGAAGTGCTGCAGGTACCAAAACGAGGCCGGCAGGGTGATGGTGAGACCCCGGTTCCCCAGCACGCCGCGGAGGTTCTTGAGGAAAGTCACGTAGTTATCAAAGTCCTCCGGCTTCCCTGAACGCTCTTCGGCCACACTAGCAAGGCGTATACGAATTAGCATCAACACTGAAACAAGATGCAACAGTAGGAAAGCTTGAGTCATAACTCACGGGTATTCCCAGTCGATATCGACTCCGTCAAATCCGTATTTGTCCATGAAGGACAAAAGGGACTCAAAGAAAGCATCCTGGTGGGACTGCGATGCCGCCAGCTCGGAGAAAGTCCGCGCTGTGGGCTGATCAGGATCGTTCATGCTCCATCCTCCAATGGCAATCTGTCGGCAGCAGCTGTTAGCCATCAGGGGCCATTGGATATGCGCATTGGCTACGGATTCTTACCCAAACTTCGAGCCCGGGGTTGTAGTCCTTCAGGCCTGTGAGACGTGGCATGTATCTCTCATCGGAATCCTGCATATTGGCGATCTTGTATGTGGTAGGATCAATGAAGGCAAAAGCGTAGTTCAAATGGGTGTATGCCCCCGACAGCAGGTCCTCCGGGTTGACTGCAATAGATTAAGAGGTCAGTGGTGTACGAAGCCAAAGCATTTTCTGCCTCCTCTTGGAGTACGGTTCTGGCCGGAATCACCGAGGTCACTTACGTCCTTTGCAGCCCTTGCTGGTTGACCAGCCTTCATAGTACCCGATCACTTTGCTGGCGGCGCTGGTGCCGCCCTTACAGCTCGGCTTCTTGACCTTCTTGTCGCCGCAGAAGTCCTCGGTCGTCCCACAGAACCCAAACTCAGAACAGCACACATTGAGCGGGCACTCCCCCCGGGTGCTCCATTGGGAGCCCCATCCCGGGTCGCACTCGCTCTTTGCGTCACAGCCGGACGTGCAGTTCGCGGGGGCGCAGTATGAAGGTCCCATGCCGCATACCTGTATAGGTGTTTAGCAAGGCTTCCACGTTGTAACTTATAAGAACAGGCAGACGACTCACATTGTTCTTACCGCAGCATCCCAGCTTGCAAGGCCTCTCTGGAGAACAGGAATAGTCTTGCTGTCCCTCTACCAAGTAAATCAAGCCGGCCGCTACCAGCAGGATGCAGAGGCAGTGATGTAGCAGTCTGCTTGGTCCTGCCATGTTGCTTGTTGTCGACTGAACTAAGCAACGAAGTATAGGTATTGAGTCCAAATTCCCACGGTTCCTTTAAGAGACATGCTCGACTTTCATTAGATTCCGACCGGACCAGCAGGCCGAGTTACTATGTCTTAATCAGCTGATACCTTTTGCCCTATCTCACGGTTCCTGCCGCACATGACGGCTGAGGCTTGTCTTCTCACCTCGCTTGGGTGCGCCTATACATCAGTGTATATTGGCAGGTGCACTGATCAAGGTGTAAGTCCGTCCAATAGTAAGCTGAGTGGGGGTGTAGCGGAGTATATCGCAATATACCACATTAACTGCCTGCCGCTTCTGGTCTGAGCACCGGAAAGATTGCATAGTAGCAAGATTCGATGACCAGGTGTAGGGTGTGGATGGGGATAATCGCGTGTTTTAGGTCTACCGAGCTAAGGTAAGGTGGAATGAGACCCATATATACCCCGGCGCCTGCCGTCCTTGGCGTCATGTGACATCAGGCTTGGCCATGTGCGCTGAATAGTCGACAGAGAGCAGCGAAAAGATCCGGTCATATATGCATCTTTGGTTCCATCGCACACTTGACTGTTTTATTCGACCTGGCCGACCACTCCTAGCCTTTTAAGCCTGGGTCAGTAAGGTATCTCTGTAAAGGCTGCTCGATATTTCGAAACCTCAGCCAACCTACAACAGAAGGGCCATTGCGATTTACAATGTATATTCTTTGGTTCTTAGGCGTGCTCGGCATGCTTCTGCCCCAGACGCTGGGAGCCGACCCAAGCGTGAGTTTGATGGTCCTACCACTATTGTACCGAGTGCAGACTTGCTAACGAAATGATCCTCAGTTCTTCTTCTTCCTCAATCAAACAGCCACCCTCTTTGATGGTGTGTCGGCGCAATGCAATACGGCACTGTCATCTCCAATTCCGGAATGTCCTCAGGAGCTGCTGACCCTGTTGGGCGGCAGTCAGTTCTACACGGTCCAGAACGAGACCATGATGGACATCCTGTGTCGGAAGGAGTGCCCGCCCGCTTTTGAGACTTACCGCTCCAACGTGGAAGAGGCCTGCGCCAATGACCCCCAGCCAAGGGCGGGTTATCCTTCCACGTACTGGGTAGACGCTGTTTCGTCCGTCCAAGCGCAGATGTGTCTCAAGGACTCTGCCTCTGGCGAATACTGCACAGGTTTGTCACAGCATACCTAAGCTCCATGGTGCCGTTGCAATATGTTCAAAGCTGACCTCCCCTCGCAGAATTCCTTGAGAAGGCTCTGGGGGACGCCAGCGACCCGACCGAGCTGCTCGGGGGCTACACCACGGAGCAGCTGTGTTCAGAGTGCATCGTGAACCTCTTCCGCCACCAGCAGTCGACCGCCTACTCCAACTACGACGCCGAGATGGCGCGGGCCTGGGCCGAGATCCAGGGCCGCTGCGGCCTCGACTACCCAACGGCCACGCCGACGCTCAAGACCAACGTGACGAGCCTGGGCAACTACGCGCCCTCGGGCTACGCCACGGCCGCGTGCGTCGGGGGCCGGACTCACGAGGTCACCAGCGGCGAAAACTGTGTCGCCATCTCCAAAGCCAACCATGTGTCCACCGGAGCGCTGATCACGATGAACAGCCTCCGCCTGGACTGCACAAATCTGCAGCTTGGACAGGTGAGTCGTTCTTTTTCGACCATGCCTGACGCATAACTTTCTCGTGTTCGGGGTCGTCTCTAACGCAGAACTGCCAACAGAAACTCTGCCTGCCTGCAGCTTGCGATGACTACGTCGTCCAGAGCGGCGACACCTGCGTTGGTATTGCGAAGCAGTTCTCCGTCCCGTTCCATCAGCTTACTGCTTGGAACCCAAGTACGTCTTTCCCCAGTCCCCGTGCGCACCTGTCTAATGGTTCTGCAATACTGGCAACCTTGGTTTAGTGCTGACAAGATGCCGTGAAACGCAACAGCAATCAATCCACACTGCACCAACCTCCTCGTCGACCAGAACCTCTGCATCGGGCCCCCTGGCGGGGAGGCCACATTTACCACCGTGCCCGGCGCCACAGCCACGCAGACGGCCATCTACGCCCCCGCTACGGCGGCGAGGCCGACCCCCGTGGCGGAGGGCACCACGACCAAGTGCGGGAAGTACTACCTTGTGCAGCCGGTAAGTGGCACCTGATTTCCGCCCTTTTGCTCCAGGCAAAGACAGTCCCCAACCAGGAGAGGTCCTGGCTTGGCTCTACTGCTGACGTGCGAGGCTGAATGTGTTTAGGGAGACTATTGCGAGATCGTAGCGCTGAACCAGACTGTTCCTCTCAACTGGTTCCTCGGCATGAACCCTCAAGTGAGTAGTGCATCTTTTCCAGTTGGATCTTCAGGAGCAAAGTTGTTTACCAAGCCGGACAATGATACAGATCGACAACGCGTGCGGTAACCTTCTCTCGGGCTTCAACTACTGCGTGCAGCCGACGAGCGACTGGAACACGACCGGCACGTCCGAACCCGTCCCAGCCCCGACATCTACGCCTCCAGGCACCATCAGCGAGTGCTACGAGTAAGTTTGCATTTTGCAAAGCCGCATCAATGCATCGCAATCCTAACTTGTCATCTCAGATGGTATGTTATCCAATCCGGAGACTACTGTGGAAAGGTCCAAGACCAATTCGGCATCACCTTCGCGCAGTTGCAAGCATGGAATCCGGTACGCCGATTTTCATTTTACCGCTGCCAATTAGTGTTCGAGAGAGCTGACCTATGCACCTCCTCCGCGTGCAGGCTCTAGAGGACGACTGCTCCAATCTCCTGCTCGACGTCGCGTACTGCGTGAACGGGGGCGCCATAGCCAGTGGCGCTTTCGTCGCCCGCCCAACCGCGGCGCCCAGCAGCGACAACGACGACACGCACGTTTCGTCGCTGGCTCCGTTGCGACTTCGAGACCCGATCCAGACACAGGCACCTGCTGCAGGCGACCGGCCAGGTGGCGTGCCGGTTGGATGGCCTGGGGTAAACTCGCCTAGGCTGAGAGCGCAGATGGGACTGGGATCGCCTGGGAAATAAGAAGACTGAGAGCGATTTGGCGCTGCGTCAGGCCTTCATCGCTTAGTGTATGGATCCGAATTGGATCGTCGCAATCGAGTTGACGGTGGGGGGGTTCTTAGAGGTCTTGACATTCGATTGCCAGCGTCAAAACGGGTATAATATGTGGTTGTGGGTGATGTAGAGGGAGTTGAGGATCAGGATTGTTGCCGTGGTTGACGATAGAAGTTGCGAGACTCGGCCCGTGCCGTGCGCCAAGTTGCGCTAGTGACTAGTTTTGCGCTACGCACGCGAACTAGCGTTTGGACTATACATACCCTTCAGCACTCTCAATCGTGGACTGGGGCGTTTGACGGCTCTGTCATGTCTCCCCCTGCAGAAACAAGGCACCCGTTTACGCTGTGTATACCAAGCGCGGGAGAGTGCTGTATCGCTAAATTACCTTCCTAAATGAGCTACAGCCCCGGAGACTTTATGTACTAAAAACCCGTTCATACCCTCAGACTCAATTAATCTCGCCTTCGTGCACCCTACCATCTCACTATTTACCTTATCTACCCCGCCTCCAACCTAGAGCTATGTCGAAACCGTCCAGCTTATTTACCTCCTATACCGACGCCGCCAGCACCTACTGGCCGCCCGGTTGGAACTTCCAGCGCTATGCCCACGCCACGCCCGCGGACAACGCTTCACTGTCGGACGAGGAGCGCGCTAAGATGCAGGCCGGCTTCCGCGAAGCGCTCGGCGAGGACGGCGTTATGGAAATGGCCCGCGTCGTGTGGCAGGAGCAGCTGCGCCGCATGAAGGTCGAGAAAGAGTCTTCTTCTGCCGCCACAGCGTCGTCATCGTCGTCTGCGCAGAAGCAGCAGCAGCAGCAGCAGCATCAGAAACGGCCTCCGCCACCCTCCCCCGACTGGCTCAAGACTTGGCGCAAACGGGCGGGCGGCGACGGCGGCGAGGCCTGGGGCTTCGTCGCGTTCTGTACTTCCAGTGCCGTCGCCGCCATGCCGAAGTCGGACGTGGCCAAATTCCACACACGCGTGCGGGAGATGGCGGAGATCCCTATCCAGAAGGCGTTGGAGGAGGAAGGTCAGCCGGCCGACGAGATCGCCGAGGCGCGACGATCGTTCGAGATCCGCTGGGTCGAGATGGACGGTGACGACGAAGACGTCAAGGGCGAGGAAGGAAAGAAAGAGGCGGGGACAGGGGAAGACTGGGTTGAGAAGGCGCGCGCCAGTTATCGTGCCATGCGCGAGTCTGGCGTCCTCCCGTCGGGTCTCGACCTGCCCGTCTTCCTCTGTACATCACCTGCCGCCGTGGCCTCGGTGCTGCGGACGTCGCCGGCGGAAGCGAAGGAGGCGCACGATGGGAAGCCGCGTTGGCGATCTGGCGACGTCCCATTCCTGCTGGTCGCAACCGCAGAGACGGAGCAGGGGATCGTCGAGGACGACGACGACGAAAAAGAAGAAGAAGAAGAAGAAACTAAGGCTGGCGGTGGTGAAAGGAGCTGGTTCAAGCCCGTTTTCAAAGCGGCCGCCGAGGTGCTGGTGGACGAGCTCTGGTGGATCGTCGCGGAGCAGATGATGTCGCTAGGCCAGATGACAAGGTTCGTTCGGGGCGCGACGGTGGCTGAGGAGCATGTCACGACGACGGAAGAAGAGAGGCAAGGGGAGGGAGGAGAGGCGGCTGATGTTGGTAGTGGACGTGCCGAGGAGCCAGGCCATGACGACGACGGGCTGGATGACATATGGTGGACAGTTCATATGCCGCCGCGTCAGATGAGGAAGAGGCGGAGGGTATGAGCCAGATCTGGATAGTGAGTCCGAAGAGCAACTTACCTGACTGGAGTGTCAACTCCTGGGCATGTCAACATGTGGCTCCCTGCATACCATCTATGATCAGCCCGCTGCTGCTACCGCAACGAGTCTTCACGAACGACCGCCTTCTATATGATACTTTCACATCATCACCCTTCTCACACTCGCGGGCGCCTCTCCAGGCAGCTACTCCAACAATCCTTGAAACTGCAATCTGATCCGCAGTCAAAACTCAAGCATCTCAGCTTAATCAAAGTCGGAAGATCTGCTGCAGGTTCGCACAATGCAGTCCCGCACCCGAAATTCTTGTGCTTGTTGCCGCAGGTATCCTTCTAATAGTCAACGATAAATCGATTAGACCATAGACCCGTGTGTCTTTTTGTGAACTGGTCTTAGCGTACTGCTCTCTTTCTGGAGGCATACACTTGTCGATCTAGCGATCGACTTCATCTCTACTTTCCCAGCCGGGATTCTGTCCATTTCTAGCTCACAGAATAGTGCTGCAAGAAATGAACTTTTCCAGAGTCAATCAGTCTCGATACTGCAATTTTCGATTGCTACCAGCAGGAGAAACATCCCAGTAGGTACGATCATAGCGGCCGGAAACGAGATTCACGACCATCGAATGTACATGCACGTAGTGTTGACCCAGAGTGTTCCGGATGAATACTGCAAGTAAGGGTCTGTCGTGTTTGCAAACCTACCATCCGTACGGAAGACGGAGGTCGTCGATTTCGCCAAGCATTTAATGCGTTGATTGACGCTGTCAAATGTTATGTTTCTGTCCTTGAACAGAATGTGCACGTGAGTCGATCCAGATACCCCACCGCGACGTCCTGACACAAGGCTCTGATTGTTAAGGACTTTGGTCACAGTTTCTGTTATACTTTCCATACAGAATCGATAAATGCTCCAAACACAGTCTTCTGGATAATACATCCATCTCCATCCTGCGCTTGGGTTCCTTTGACGTGTGAGGTTGACGTAGGTAGGTTCGTCACTGAGTTCCGGAACTTCGACTAATCCGTGCGCACCAGATTTCGACCCCTTGCATAACACTAGTGTACCGTCGCGTATCGTATGATTTTTGGCCGTCCTATGACTCCATAAGAAGACAAAATTTCTGATGTCTTCATCGTGCAGAGTGTTAGGTATATCAGGAACATTCGAGCTCATCGGCTCGAGATGAGAAAAGTCCGTCAGAATTTCCTCAGGCACGGCGTTCTCAATCTTGGCGGTGTACGTATCGACCGTTGGAGTCAGCGAACAGTTGACTATTTTCCAGTCTGTGCTTAAATAATAGACGTGCGCAGACGCGCCCTATCACTCCAATTATAGGGGAGTGTGTATTAAACAGTTGTGTGTTATAGCTATTGAGAATTGGTTTAAATTGACGGCTTTTACAACATGGAGAACCCGGATGGTAGAGCGCCTACAATATCGGCCCCCAATTCCCTGCCGAAAGAGATACGATGCGCCTCGCACATAGGTGCAAAAACGTGTTGCCAAGGATTTTGCGACATCCTGCGACACGTCGGTAGTAGTTGGCCCCCACGCGGCTGACTGCACCGAGTTGTAAGGCTTCGCGCATAAAGTCGACTCAGCAGTGCTCACGATCCTGCTAATCCTTATTTCGAAAAAGATTCTCTTACAACTAGAGTAGCGTTTGGTCAACAGATCCCCTTCAGCTACTATGATCTCTCTTGTTCCCACACAACGCCTTGTCCTGTTCCTTGCACTTGCGACGTCGGCGTGCGCATACAGCAACCACCTCTGGCACGTAGATTTTGACACCTTTGGGAAATGGAAGATAATTCAAGAAGAGGAAGAATGCTGGGAGGCATACCGAACTCTCAACAAGTCTCCTTACAACTCTAATTCAACTGCGCTCGTCGACTGTATGCCAACCAATGTTGCACCCAACCTCGCAGCACCATGTCCGCTGACCAAGGCATTCCACTAGGCATACTCGCCAAGACCGACGAAGTCACAAAGTCCGAATTCGGCGTTGTAGCCGTCATGCTTGGTCTACTTCCTGGGGTGCTGCAACTCATAGGCCCTAAACTCAGCGACCTCGCCATCCTCGCTACCCGAAGACCCATTCTGGCACTGTTTCTAACGGTCGGATCGCCGTGTCCAGCTCTGGACTACGAGACCACAGGCATGGAGTCTCTTCTCGCCGAGGACTCGCCGCCTTTCTGGCCCGCCTGGTTGAGGACGCGACGGCCATGGTTGAGCGTTGTAATTTCTCTCCTAGAATACTTTGCGGTTATGGTGGCCGCTGGAAATGTGGTGTATCATTTCTACCGCCTTACATTCTATGCTGTCGTCTTGATCAGCACCCAGATGGGGCAGTACGGCGGTACGCTAGAAGCCTTTGCGCCGCTGCTCTGGGCCTTCATTGGTATCCCTATACACTTTCTTGGCGTCTTGCAACTACGTTTGTGCCGCGTTCCTTTGGCAGACGATGCTGCATCGGCACGCCCGCGGAACAAAACCTCGTTAATCTCCCTCCTACGAAATGAAATCACTCCTTGTGCCTTCGCGACAGACATCGAATCCGACGAAATCAAACTCCAAAACGGTCCGACCTATCAGATTCTCAACTGGCTGATCAGGCTTTGCATTTGGGCTGATGTCATTTACGGGATCATCGTTCTCTCGACCATCCTATTCGTCCCCATGTGGAGCGCTATTTGGATGATTGGTCTTATATTTACGGGGACACTTGTTTGTAGGTTAGTCTTGGCCTTCGAGATGCACGGGTTGCGTGAGGTGCCAAAGGTGTATGGGAAAGCCTCAAAGGGATCCATGGAAACTGGTTATGAGATGGCACGGTTCATGCCTGAGAATGGAAAAGCGTCATCGCAAGAGCATACCTTGCCTCTGTTGCATCGCTGATCTAAAAGGGGTCAAGCAGAAGTAGAGAGCGCAACGTTAGTTCATGCGTGGTGCTTGAGGGCAACGGATTTCTGCTACACGTACAACGATGATACAAAGCAACGTTTTTACGAATCTAGTAAGCTATAATTGTACTCAAACTACACTATCTGAAAACCCTTTTACTAAACCCCCGAAATATCCTCAAAGGTATCTCCGCCTTCCCGTTCCCCCCCAAAATCAAAACGCCGTCAAATGCATACACACACACGGAGTTGGAACACCAACAAAAGAACGCCACACATGCAATCCCGCTATCCTCCTTTCATTTCGCTGCCTAAGCATCCGTCCTCGGTTTCTTATTAGGCAGCGCAGGGACCTTGAAACCGCCCGCATCCGTCTTGCCACTACCACCACCATTAAGCTGCGTAAAACTACCCCCCTTGAACCACCTATCTTCATCTGCTTTTCTCTTCCTCGCCGCCTCCTCCTTGGCCCTCGGGTCGATAAGCTCAAGCCCTTGCACAGGCGTAAAAGCAATGGACCCCGTTCCGCTCCCGCCCAATCCCACACCTCCCGTCCTCAATCCCTGTGCGCGAAGACTAGTCGCCGTGCCACTGCCTCCAAAGCCTTTGAGGGAAGATGCAGCGCCGAGCGTCGTGTCTGTGCCCCAGCCAGGGTTCTTCTTGCTAAGTTTGGCGCGTGTCTTGGGATCGATTTGTTGGGCGCGGAGACGGCCGGTATCTGTTGCTCCAATCATGCCCATGCCCTTGACAGAGTCACCGTAACCGACTTCCTTCTCTTCCTTGCCAAACGTCATGCGGTTTTGCGCTTTGCGAATTTCGGTCATGGCAGTTGCTTCCTTGGCCTTTCTAGCACGTCTTCCACCGCGCTTACGTGACGGCTTCTCATCGGGTACAGGGAGTGCGCGTCCACCGGCTTTTTGGTTGGCTGGCATTTCGACGAGTTTGTCGAGACGGCGTTCACATTCTTTACGAAGGTCCATGCCAATGTCGGCGGTGTGCGAGTTGGAATGTGCGTCTACGCGTGCGGCAAGAATGACCTTTGCAGATACAATGCGCAGAGCTTGTTTCCGGAGATCCGGGCGTTGATTCTGGATGATGTCGCTGTGATACAGGTAACCTTCGTGTCGTAAACCCATATTTGACAAACCGACGGTAGCGCCGGAGACTTTTGTTGAGCCCAAAGGCGCGATGTTGCAGGCGGGGGTTTTGGCTAGGTTTGCGATACCGCCGGAGTAGGAGATGAGATGGGCGGCAGTCAAACTTCCAATCAAAGCAGTCAGGTTCGGTGCAAAGAGTTCTGTGCGGGATTCGACGAAACCTAGGATCTTGGACTTGGCGGCGTGGAGTTCGAGGAGGAGGTGGCAGGCGCTTGATACCAGGTCGAGCTCGGTTTCGTTGAGCAGCCTTCCTTCGACGCGTGTTGCTTCAATTTCGACAATCATGACCTGAGCAGGCTCCATTCCCTCGATTTGCCGTAGCTTGGGGCTTATGTCTTTGATGTCTGAGAGGGGTCCGCCGCCGATGACTAGACATGCTTTTGCGTAGACGATGGGGTTCTTGATCAAATCTTCCAAGTGGGGGAAGAAGGCTGAGTAGTGGTCGCGGATGAACTTGTGGACAGTAGCGGTTTCGCCGTCGATCTGAGTGGAGAACTCGTTGGCCTCGGTGAGGAGTTGGTACTCTGGAGACTCCTCAAAGGACTCGCCCTCGACTATGTCCATCTGGTCCTGTGTTTCTTCGATGCGCTTCAACACGGGGTCTAGGTTGGCCTTGAGCTGCTGGGCGGATCGAATGTCGGCTGGACCCTTGTCTTCTTTGTCCTTCTTCTCCCGGTATTGCGCCTCTTCGTCCACCATGTCATCGTCGCCCGAACCCTCAGCAAAGTCATTCTCAAGGTCCTGGACATCTTCATCGCCGCTATCGGCGAAGTCGGCCAGAAGCTCTTGTTCGAGAGTCGCCATGGTGGAGTGCGGTCCGAGGTAGTCGCGACGGCGGCCAGAGGTTACCCTCCTAATAGATTTCGGTTGAGTGTTGGGTTCGTTATGGCGCAGTATTATACGTACCTGTAGCCCGAGTTGGCCGCCGGTCGAGTGTGAAACGCGCACAGGGGAGAGTCGTGTCGTGGGAGAAGAGAAGTTGCGACGGGCAGTGACGTGAAAGAGCTAATTGCTTGGCGTGCAGCGGGTAAAACCTGCGCTAACGGAGTCGCGTTCTCACCTTGGAGAATAAACTTGTCGCATTGCCGAACAACTTTGCATTTACGAGAATCGCTGTCGCCTAGCTATCGTGTTGCAGTCGACTTGCGCAGGCATCCGCCGTCACGTGTCTGCCAGTTTCTCTGTCCAGGACCGAAGTTGGAGCTCTAATACCACGACACTGCCGAGGCGCGGTTGCCCTCACGTCCACGACTGACGTGCGCCTCGCCGTCTCTCGCCATCGCGCGCATACCTTTACTTCCCACATCACGCCCTTGAATATCGCATCCCTGCCCCAAATATGGAGGCAACACGAGGACCCCCGCGGGTCAAGAATAAGGCCGCAGCGGCTGTCCAGATCTCCGCCGAACAGCTGCTTCGAGAAGCCGTCGACCGTCAAGATGAGAAGCTCAAGGCGCCAACGCAAAGGTTTGCGGATATTGAAGAGCTCCATGAGTTCCAAGGTCGCAAGAGGAAGGAATTCGAGGACTATGTACGGCGGAACCGCATCAACATGAACAACTGGATGCGCTATGCTTCCTGGGAACTCGAGCAGAAGGAGTTCAGGCGCGCACGATCCATCTTCGAGAGAGCTTTGGACGTATGTATTCCTAGTACCAAACGCATGCGAGGCACAGACTGACTCCCATCTAGGTAGACTCCACGTCAGTCCCATTATGGCTGAGGTACATCGAGAGCGAGATGAAGCATCGCAACGTCCAGCATGCCCGCAACCTTCTCGATCGCGCCGTTACCATTCTCCCACGAGTCGACAAGCTATGGTACAAGTATGTCTACATGGAGGAGACGCTTGGTAACATTGACGGTGCCCGCTCAGTCTTCGAACGCTGGATGCAATGGGAGCCGGAAGAGGCCGCATGGAGCTCATACATCAAGCTGGAGAAGCGCCACGGCGAATTCGAGCGATGTCGCGCAATTTTCGAGCGCTTTACAGTTGTACACCCCGAACCCAAGAACTGGATCAAATGGGCCAAGTTCGAGGAGGAAAACGGCACCAGCGATCTTGTACGCGACGTCTACGGCACCGCCGTCACGACCCTCGGAGATGAGTTCATGGACGAGAAGCTTTTCATGGCATATGCAAAGTTCGAGGCAAGACTGAAAGAGCTGGAACGTGCTCGAGCCATTTACAAATTCGCCCTCGATCGCATGCCAAGGTCGAAATCGGTTAATCTACACAAGGCCTTTACGACGTTCGAGAAGCAATTCGGAGACCGGGACGGTATTGAAGATGTTATCTTGTCTAAACGGCGGGTTCATTATGAGGAGCAGATTAAGGAGAACCCAAAGAACTATGATAGTTGGATTGATTTCGCCAGGCTGGAAGAGACGTCTGGTAACCCCGACCGAGTGAGAGACGTTTACGAAAGAGCCATTGCTCAAATTCCCCCAACGCAAGAAAAGCGCCATTGGAGACGGTACATATATCTCTGGCTCTTCTACGCCGTCTGGGAAGAAACTGCATCTCACGACATTGAACGAACACGCCAAATTTACCAAGAGTGCATACGCCTGCTCCCCCACAAACGCTTCACATTCGGCAAAGTGTGGTTAGCATTCGCTCATTTCCTGGTTCGACAAGGTGAACTCACCGCTGCACGCAAACTACTCGGTCAGAGTTTGGGTATGTGTCCAAAAGACAAGCTGTTCAAGGGCTACATTGAGCTAGAAATGAAGCTCTTCGAGTTCAATCGCTGCCGCCAGCTCTACACAAAGTATATTGAATGGAACGGCTCAAACTGCCATACCTGGATCAACTTTGCCAACCTAGAGCGCGGTCTCGATGATCTCGACCGCGCACGCAGCATCTTCGAAATAGCAGTCGAACAAACTGACATGGATATGCCGGAAGTGCTGTGGAAAGCATACATCGACTTTGAAGAGGGAGAGGGTGAATACGAGCGTACACGCGCATTGTACGAGAGGTTGTTGGAGAAGACGGACCATGTCAAGGTGTGGCTGTCTTATGCGCAATTCGAGTTGGGAGTTCCAGATGAGACCACAGCAGAAGACGACGACGACACAATCAGCGACGCCGCCAAAGCCCGTGCGCGCAACATCTTCGACAGAGCGCATGGCAAGCTCAAGGAACGCGACCTCAAGGAAGACCGTGTGGCACTGCTCAGCGCCTGGAAGGCGTTTGAGGATGTACATGGTACCGAGGAAGACAAGAAGAAGATTGAGGGACAGATGCCAAGAAAGGTCAAGAAGAGGAGGAAGCTCGACGACGACAGCTTCGAGGAGTATGTCGATTACGTCTTCCCTGCGGACGACGAGAGCGCTGCGAAATTGTCAAAGTTGTTGGCCAATGCCCAGAAGTGGAAGATGGCGCAGGCGCAGGCAGCGCAGGCAGCGCAAGGTGCGGGAGGAGAGAATGGGGACGGCGAGTAAGGGGTGGAGTGGTGCCAAAGAGGAGGGAAAAGAACGTGTTTGTAGAATAAGACTAATCAGCATCGTTGATCTACGAGTATTGCGCGCGTACCGGAAGGACGACGCGCGAGAGGCCAATCAGAAGCCGGTTCGCCCTATGCGCGACACCATGTCCAATAACGGTGAATTAAAAGAAATGTGAAAGTTCAACGAAGTCTTTCAGCAAGAAGGATCGAGAGGACGAACGTGTTCGAGAAGGTAAAAGGAGTACGAGAGGCGATACGAATACGCGGTTCGTGACGATCCCAGCGACTTGTGGCTAAGCTGTCAAGCTGCTAGAGGAGGAATCTCGAATTTATTTATTTGAAGTTTGTTGAGCTCTAGGTATGAACTTCTACGATTTCACTTCCCGCTGTCTTTATTCTACATTCAACCTAAGTCTCGTGCGCTAATGTTCAATCTCTATTGGCCACGCACGTGAAGTAGAAACTTTACAAGCTACCGTTGTTTGTGTGTATGAACGCGACTGATTCTCATACGTCTAGGTATCACTAATCTGACTTTCAGTTTACGCCCGCGCGAACTACGGTCCTATTTTATCTGCTGCCTTCCATCTGAGTCGTGACACTGCCAGAAAATGACAGAATGCTACACTGTTTGTGCTACGTGCGTTGGTTCTAACAGATGCTTGATTTCTACCTATCAGAGATGCTACATTGGGCGAAGATAGCATGAACGTTATCATCTCAAGGGGAGCACGTGATCGGAGATCACGGATGTCGGTCCGTCTGCGGTTCCATGAGATCACCCTGGGGAATAGACACGGCCCTTACGATACGGTCCGTCCACATCTGCTGCTGCCTGTAATGAAGACTGAAATCATGGAAGCTGAGGGGCTGTCTTACCAGATTAGCAATCGGTGAATAGTGTTAGACATTTCCAATCGCCGACATACTGCCTGCCTTGTCAACAAATTGGAAATCTTGAGCAACACTACAATGACAAAGATCGTTGAGAGGACCATGGAAGAGAAGCGCCACATTGTTATCATCGGTGCTGGGTCAGTCATATCAGAATCTCCATAACATTGTTGCTAACTTGAATAGCGTCTCTGGTATTCTACTTGGTGTGTGTCGTTGCTAAAGCAGACGTTTCAGAAAATAACCCCTTTTTTCCCACTAGCACATCATTTCAAGTTGTATTTATCGCACGCCTATACATTCCAGATTGTGGAGAAGAATCACGCCGTTGGAGGCACGTGGTTGGAAAATACATATCCAGGCAGGAGCAAGACCTATGCCAACTTTAGTGGAAGATGACTGATCTTGCCAGGCTGCGCGTGCGATGTACCAAGTGACATATACCAATACTCTTTTGCGCCCACGAAGGATTGGTCCAAATTGTGCGTATTGATCCCTTTCGATATCGCTGCAATCAGCTCTGGACTAATACTGGCTGACGTCCGCAGATTCGCATCATCTGGGGAGATCCAAAGTTACCTATCACACGTTGTGGATCACTTTGACCTGGCTCATCACATCGAGTTCGAGACAACGGTGACAAGATCTGCCTGGTCTGAGCAGGAAAGCAAATGGCTAGTCAACACCGAATGCAATGGTATTGTCAACAAGGGCAGGAAAGCCGATGTCCTGATCAATGCAGCCGGAATCTTGAACCACTATCGGTATCCCGATATACCTGGGCTAGATAGCTACAGAGGTCGTCTGATACATACCGCGGACTGGGATCATTCGGTCGATCTAGCGGGGAAAAGGGTAAGTGTTATCGGAGCAGGTGCGAGCGCCGTGCAAGTCATACCGCAGATTCAGCCTCTCGTCAAAGAACTTTCAGTATACATCCGAACCTCATCCTGGATCACAAGCCTGCCCGACAGTTTCGAGGGAGTCGACAACAACTCCCACAACATAGCGGGCTACCTCCAACGCTGCAAGAGCCTTGAGAGCTACTACAACAAACTCTTTCCCGTATTTTACCGGGATTCGAAAACACAGACGCAGAAGCGCGAAGAGCTTGAACTGTGGATGAGAGAACGTATCGCAGACCCTTCGCTACGCAAGAACCTCATTCCGAATTACGAACTCGGATGTCGTAGAATCAGTCCGGGAGAGCCATTTCTACAAGCTCTACAGAAACCAAATGTCACTTGTATATTCAGCCCCATCCTGACATGTCAGCCAGAAGGTCTCGAGACGCAGGACGGTATCGAGATATCAGATGTCATCATCGCCGCCACGGGATTTGACACGTCGTTCCGCCCACGGTTCCCACTATTGGGTCGCAATGGAGTAGATCTTAGGGATTTGTGGAAAGACGATCCGATTTCGTACATGGGGCTCGGGTGTGCGGAATTTCCGAACTACTTGTCTATGCTCGGCCCCAATTGCCCGGTTGCGAACGGTAGTTTGATAGGTACGTAGAAAGCTCTGTTTATGGTTTTGCCGCTATTGTTCATGCTAATAGCTGCGCAGGTAGTCTGGAAGCTATGGCAGATTTCTTTGTACGACTTCTCAAGCGCGTTGACAGTTTTGGCGTCGCTACGTTCATGCCGGACAAGGGCGCACAGGAAGACTTCAATCTACAGGTCGAGGACTTCATGAAAGGAGCTGTATGGACGGGAAATTGCACAAGTTGGTGTAGGTCTGCCTTTTACTTGTCCACTGTTTAGTGAAGAGATTTTGAGGTCCTGTACTTACGCACTTTCCAGACAAACGCGGGAAAGAGGGGAGGATAACAGCTGTGTGGCCTGGGAGTAGCCTCCATTACCGTGAGGTACTTGAGCAGGATCGCTGGGAGGACTGGAATTGGACTTATCGTGGCAGACGATATGAGATATGGGGCAAGGGGGAGTCTGCTGTTGAGAAGGCGGGTGGTGATCACAGCCACTACCTAGAGCATGGACCATTACTACGAATGTCTTCCCTCGCTTAGGAGAGCTTCCGTAGGAGTGACCTATACAATCTTGCTAGTAAACTCTCAAACTCAATCTCTGGGAGTGTGGACAACGAGCTTCGAAGAGACATGGTATAAAAGGTCCCTGTCATCACATATGAGGTATCAGAGTCTCTGGCCTTTCTCGCCAGTATCCAAAACCATACACTTCACTTAAGAGTTTGGAATACCGAGAAAGAATGAATATTGGCGTGTATCTTCTCAGAGTTGAGAAGAGCGCGAGTCTACCCAAACTGATCCACTCCTCTATCTGCAGTCACAGCAGTGCCTTCTCCTGCGGCGTAAACTCGCGCCGTGCTGGTCCTCCACGACTTCCGTCGCCATGAAATGTATCTTCACGATCTTTGTATTCCATCCTGAATCGCCATCTTTGTTGCAAGCCTGAGGGCAAGGTGCGCTCGAATGCCTGCGCTACGTACTTTCCCAGCACTGGCAGGAATTTGAATGCACTATAGGAGGACAGAGTCAGTACAGATTCAAGTATTGACTTATACAAGAGGAGGTTAGCACTTACTGGCCACTACCAGCCGTTGCAAGGAACAGATTCGTGTGGTCAGGGTGGTAGTCGATGATGAAGTCACCAGAGGGCGTGTCGTTGTACCAGCATACGGCAACACGATCAAACTCTCGCTCCGCAAGAGACGGAAGGATAGTTCCAAGCCCCGCACGCAACCTTTCGACGCCGTCTGCTGGCGCAAAATTGGTCCGCTTGCTTCGAGTCGTTGTTGGAGGGAGGGAGATACCGTTCTTCTCCGTCGTTCGAGTATAGCCCCAGCCATGTACAGCGATTTTCAGAACCCGGGCTTCGGGGTGGGGCGGAAAACAAAACCAGCCGGAATCGTAGTCTATGTACAATGGCAGGTCTTTGTAGGCTTCCATTTCAGCATCTGTCAGGTTTATGAAGGCTAAGACTTGTGCTGTAGATATCGTTGAGTTGTACATGGGTGCTAGGCTTGTCGACCAAGCGCCAGCACTCAGGATAAAGTAATCCCCTTGTATATCTTGGCCGCTTTCAGTCTGTGCGGCTACAATTCTGCGGGTCGTCGTGTCTTTCTGGAAAGCAGTGACAGTGCCTTGTTTGCCGCAAACAAAAGACACGCCACGCTCAATGCATTGATTGCGAAGAACGGTAATTGCCTTCTGAGCATCCGCCCACCCAGAACTTCGATTACAGTATCCAGAAAGATTTGTGTGAACTGTATCACCGTACAGAATCGGGAACTTAGATTTGATAGCTCCTTGATCATGCATTGGTTCCCAGGGGTGACTCAGACCGTCAAGGGCATCTGTGCATTTTTTGAGGTGCGTACGCCCGTACGCCTTGCTTGCGATGAAGGCATTTGGACCATGGTGAAATATTCCTCGAAATCTTGGATCATCACGCCAGACATCAAACGCTTCTTTTGCAAGCTTGGCGTAAAGCGGATCGCGATAGTCGAAACGTATCACTCGCGAGATGTCGACGCTGGAGCCATCCGGTACCTTTTTTTCGGTCAGCATCGGCATTTTCCGTTCTTGCAAACTACTTACCGGGGGTACATGACGATCTACGATTGTAATGTTTCTGTAACCTTTGCGTACCAGCTCTACTGCTGTCGACAAGCCAAACACCCCTGCGCCTATTATAATGATCCGACTATCTTTGTGCATTTTGTATTCGAATTTTGTTGGCAATACTGACAACTTGTTGGACGGTATGCAGTCCGGACGCTGTAGGTATGTTGACACAGATTTATGATTGAACTACATCTGAAAGGAGCATATTCGTCAGGTCATACACGCTAAAAAAGACGTGAATCAAAGCGGGAACGGAAGCGGAAGTGACACGGAGCTGGTACGGGACCAATTCCGGCGCTAACTGCCTCGTCCCAGTATCGCCCGATGTATCTGGCCGGCCGATTACATAGATTCTCAATCACGGGCAACCACTCGAGAAAGAACACTTACCATGTCTGTTACTTGGCCAGAGCAGTACGCTCTTTCCAGCTCTACACATGTCCCAAACAACATCTTACCAGCTCTGATATATCGAGATGTTCTCCCTGTTCCGGTGAACCCTGAACTTTCAAAGCGTCTTTGTGAGCGGAATGGCTGGGAAAAACGTGTAAGTGACTGACCAAGACTGGCTTGTATCAATGGTTGCGGTACAACGGGTCCCTATGATCGAACCAAATTTACTAGACCAATCCTGGGATAGCGCGTGCCGGGGTAGACATATATCACCCTTCTCATAGGGCGATAATGACTGCGCGTGGTGTTCTATCGTAACCAACACCACCGGGCCTCTCACTGCTGTATCTGTACTCGCGCTAACTGAGTATCAGGGCGAGTGGGGGGAGATAACAATACCACACTTCCATCCAAATACTCACGAGTGTTACGGTACGAATACCGAAGCTGCAGTCATTAGCTAGGCTGATGTTTAATTCTCAGCTATAATTCGAGGAAGCTCACGCCTCGCTCTTGGGCGGTCGAAAGAACATGATGCTATGGACGGCATTGAGGTCAATGTCCGTACAGGGGATGTGATCGTGATTCCAGCAGGAGTTTCGCATCGATCGATTGAATCTGAGGAAGGCTTCAGGTACATCGGCGTATATCCCAAAGTAAGAATTGGATCAAATTTGGCATTGAGTTCGAGCACTTCTTGACTATATATAGGCGGCTCCACGTTGGCGAAACAACCACTGCGAAGGCGATGAGCCCATGGATGCATTGTGCCTAGAAGTCAGCAACGTGCCAATCCCTGATTCCGACCCTGTCTTCGGTACGAATGGTCCTCTGTGTCAGATTTGGAAGTCGGCACGAAGTAAGACCCGCGTGAAGATTTGAACTTGTCGAAAAGTGATAAGCCACCAATTCGACTTTGAGAATGGAACACACAGACAAGAACAAGATGCATATTGTTTCGTCTCAGCGCCTGTGCTATTGCGGATGAAGTGAATCGATATCGTCAGGAAAGTAGTTGAACGCAGTTCCGCCGGGTACAGATGTGTCACCGTACGCCTGAAATGCAATGTCTTCCAGTCCTGCGCTGGTTGTCTGAATTAACATACCAGCAGATGAACTCGGACTCGGATTGATAGACAATTGATTATTTGCAACATTCGACGAAGCGTTGAAGAGCGGTGGTACGCTGTGCATAGCGGTATTAGACTCCTCGTCAAAAGTACACTCTGAGTTTGACTTAGGCGATGTCAATGCGTAGTCGAACAATCTCCATAGCAATAGCAAGTCTTCTTCCTCAAGGTGTACTTGGTTGGCTCCTTCGGGTGGGGCTGCACCGTCGTATTCTTCCTCAATATAGTTTAAAATTGAACGGTAAGGGATTCGTGCCTTCAGCTGCTCGAGAAGGGAAGTCTTGCGGGTGTTAGTACTCTTGTCTAGATTGACAAAGGTGAGCTAAGCACGTACAGTGACTTGCATTCGCGGCCACTCTTGCGAGAGTCTTTTCACAAAGTCCAAGCATTTTTCGAATTTCTGTTTCGCAGACGCAGCTACAGTTGGATACTGGCTCTTGGTATGTTCCAGGTGTATCGATGCTGCAATTGCTACCAAGTGACCAAGAAAGGGGTCGTGAAGCATCAATCTGGCTTCATCCATATGATTGAGTAGCCTAACGACCCAATTGGCATGTATCAAAGAGAACTCATAAGATTTTTGTAAGAAGGTCAAAGGAATCTTCTGCTTGAGTCGTACTGTTTTGATGTGTATCATGAAAGGGTGATTTCTGTATAAACTTCAGTGTGATGATACGACAAAAGCTCATGCTTGACTCACAAGGTGCAGTTCACGACAGATAGCGTCAGTTGAAATCGCAACCATACCACAAAATAACTTTCCAGGTGTGGCTCATCTAGCACTCGAGCGGGCGATCCTATGCATGCCAAAGTATGTCCTGAAGTTTCGCACCCTGGAACGCTATTTAGCTTCACTAACATGAGTTCAGGAACATACTTACTCATCTCAATATCCAGAAGTTTTGTCAAGATGGCGGCTCTAGGAGAGTCATGTCTCCAAAGAGGCACATCGGTATCCGAAGGGGGCTGTGCAATGTAATCAATGACGCGCTCCCAGATCCTAATCGTCTGTATTTGTAGACAGGTGACACTCTGCGGCGGGAGGGGCGCATCTGAATCCACACATTGCAATGAGATATCATGCTCAGGTGGTTGCGTTCGAATATCTGGGTGGAAAGGTCCGCTTTGGATCACCGGGAGTTCGAAGGCTGTGGTAGGAGTCGAAGGGTTCCTTGTGTTTCCTCCAAGAAGCATTCGGTCTAACATGAAAAGTGACCAGATAATTTCCTGCCGGCGAGCTCGATCGGCAAGCTCAAGGCCACAGAGCGAATCCGCACTCAACATATCACGGGCTTGCGCAACTCGCAATCCTAAAGCCACCTGTGCTCGCGCTCTCTCTAGTCTCCCGTCTATACAAGATTTCATCAGCCCATATCAACGAAACCGGTTCGATAGGTATAGAGACGCACCTCCCGAATCCACCTGGGCTTGGAGACAAAGCGCCTGGAAGTATACATCATCAATCGCAAAGTCACAGTATGCCTTTGCGATAAGATTCCACGAAAGTTTTGTCATTCTCGCTATACATCTCATTCTTTCGGATCTGTTGCTGAGAAACGGATGCCGGGATGAGCGTAAACTCAGAGCGAGCATAGCATATAGAATCATCGGAGGTAACAAGTCATCTTCACTAGACTCGAGGGTCTGAGAGGAAGCCAGGATGGGACATGGCTGATTGCAAAAATCTGAAAAGTATAGCGCAATACCCTCCGATATGACTGAGTCTGGTAGTTGCGCGTCTTTTATACTACCGGATTATCAGTGTTCAGTCATTGTAGTAATCGGTACAAGCCCTTACTGTGCATAGGGAGATTGTCGTGCAGTGGGAGGCGTTAATGGAAGTTCAATCGCAGGTTCTTGCGAGCTTCGCGCTGTCGCAGGGTCATCATCTCGGCCATGGTCGTTGGAAGGTTGGGCTGATTCAATTGATCGCTGTAGGCTAAGATCATCAGTCTTCATCGAGAGACGCGGAGTAGCGAGCATACTCAATCGTGGCGGCAAGTTTCCTCAGCAGATCTTGAATCGTGTCTAGATGCCTGGACTAGAGAGGGATGAGCATAGCACAGGGAGATGTGATTGGCATGCATTACATCATTGGTGCCAGCCATATGGGGGACATCGTGAGGTCCGATGGACCGCTCGCGAGTTCGGTATTGAGTAGCATAGACACATCTCTGTCGAAGTCGTACACAACACGAACAGTCGGGTCTTTCCCCGGTGCACTTTGACTTCTTGCGACTTGCACTCGTGTCAGTTGCGGAAGTCTGTGGGGACGGTAATCTCTCCGTACGCACGTACCGGCAATTTTCGCAAGCCTGTCTTGCGCGCTTGTTAGTAGTAAATGGGGTGTGTCGGCTGCTTCGCCGGATTTCTGCCATCTAGAAGATGTACGTTGAACGGTTCACATCGTGCAGTGTCAGGAAGCCCGCAACCCTCGCCGGTGTCCGCTGCCGGCAGCACGATCGCGCACAGACCTTCAGAGATAAGATTAAGCATTACCTAGGTACCATGCGTATACGGAAAACAAGCTGCTGCGATGATCAAGCCAGGCCATTGATTGTCTTGTTCATCACTTCCTGGGCTAGTCCGAGGCCGGATACCGGGGCCAAGACCATGATTCTCCGATCACCTGACCGGAACGGCAGAGCCACGTGAGCGGCTTTTTAACGACGTGTCTGTTGTCCCGATAAAACATCTGGGCAGTATCGAGGGGTATATGGGATGTTGCAATGGATTCAGCGCAGTCATGACCGTGAGGTCAAGACGGTTGATGACGACCCCTTATGCCTATCATGAGTCAATATCTCTGGAAACTCCTAGGCTACAAAGACGCGAAAAACGAGACGCGACCCACCAATACATCACGCAGTTTACCATCGTCGTGGTACACGTCCGACGCTATCTATCAGCTTGAGAGGCGGGCCATCTTTTCGAAGAGATGGATTTTGGTTACACACAAGCACAGGATCCCGACTGTTGGGGATTACGTGCAATTTGAAGAGGCAGGATTCCGCTTCTTCCTGTGCCGAGATCGCGATGGCGATATCAATGGCTTCCATAACGTCTGCCGACATCGAGCATTCCCCGTCGTTACCGAACCTGCAGGGCGTGTGAAGATCTTGTCCTGCAAATACCACGGGTGGTCATACGGGTTGAAGGGTAATCTAGCAAAAGCGCCTGGTTATGAAGAGATGGAGGGATTCGACAAGACGCAGAATGGGTTGTTCCCAATGAGCGTTCACATTGATCAAAAGGGGTTCATATGGGTAAATATGGATGTTGCAAGGGAGGTGGCATGGGAAGATGACTTTGAAGGAGTTGACACGCAGCCTCGGATGGACAGTTTCAACTTTGATGATTACCGATTCGACCATACGTGGGAGATGGGTGGCGATTACAATTGGAAGGCGTTAGCTGATAATTACAATGAGTGCTATCATTGTCCGACGGCTCACCCGGATGTGGCTGGTATCACCGATCTGAAACTATACGCGGTCAGCACTCAAGGGGGGCATATTCAGCACTTCACCAATGCGGAGAACATCGCCATGGACGAGGGACAAAGGGTCCGCAGCACATATTATTTCCCTAATGCCTGCATGACAGTGACGTGAGTGGACGAATGGAGAGATCGTGAGCTCTATCACAGTCGGCTGACCGAGAGTAGACCTTTCTTCTTTTACATGATGAGATGCGTGCCTACGTCAGCCACTCATTGCTCCATGGAGTACGAAGTCTATCGACACAAGGACGCCTCCGACGCGGAGTTCGAAGCCATTGATTCCATGTACAAGCGGGTACTGAACGAAGACAAGTGGCTTTGCCTCAACACGCAAAAGAACTACGGTGCAGGTGTCTACGTTAGTGGCGAGATGCATGCAAGAATGGAGAAGGGGCCGTTGTTCGTCCAGAAAACTGTGCGCAACCTTGTTCGGCAGCATCATGAGCGCGAAAGGCAGCTGGGTCGCGAGATATGGCCTGCTCGGCAGGTTTTGCCAGATTCGGCAACACGGGTACATGAAGACGAGGCTTTCTTGTGCGATCTGAAATGTCAGACTGACAAGCTCGAGTGGTAGAGTCATTTGCATATGAGTGGTGGATAGACACTCAGTAGATTGCAAGTGTATCTTATTTTGATGAGGATGAGGCTATTAGAGGAGATCTCTCAAGTTGAATGTGGAGAAAGAGATTGCGTTTCTCAATTCATCGAATTAACGCCGATGTACCGGTATATACTAATACATTCTACAAGACGTATTGTATACTTGCGCAGAGGTACTCATCAACGAGATATGCCGTAAACACACAGGACTTGATCCACGGCCATCTCCGGCATCGTCACGTTGATGCTTTATGGCATTACGCACTGCGCCACAACAGATATCCAGCTAACCGTTCATTTAACTCCTTCTTCTCCATAGTGTTTGGTACGACGCGCAAGCTAGAGAAAAAGCTAGAGCAAACAAGTGGCTTTCGCGTCATGCGCTTTGACATATCCACCGTGGCAAAGTCCGCCAGAACCTCAGAATACGAAAAGAGAGAGAATACGAGAAAGAGCAGTTATACGAAAATGACTCTCAGCCAAATCTCGACAATCACATAAATATGTTGGTACCCTATACGTTTCAAGGTGTCACATCAGTCGCTCATTTGCTTGTTCTGCCGTTCGATATATCCGGCATGTTGCGATCCCTCATTCTCGCAGCTCCCGCTCTCGCAAGTGCAGCAGCAACACCACCATTTTGTCGTTCAACACCCTCGGACGCATCATGGCCTACAGTTTCTGAATGGTCCTCTCTAAACGAAACGATCGGCGGGTCTTTGATACGTACTGTGCCCGTCGCATCGTCCTGCTGGCCCGACGCCAATGGCACCTTTGCATCTCCTTCCCCCCGCTCTTGCCAGGAAGTCAACGATAAATGGACAAACGGGACCTGGCACTCCGAACTTCCCGAGTCAATCGACTACCAGCTGTATGCAAACAACTCTTGTTTGCCAGACGAATCCGGAAGTTGGACGCAGAAGCAGGGATGCAAGATTGGTGCTCTGCCGCAGTACATTGTCAACTCAACAGAGGAGGTTGATGTCGCAGCTGCGATGAAATGGGCTGCTGATCGTAACATTCGGATTGTTGTCAAGGGAACAGGTCATGACCTCAACGGGCGGTAAGTATATGTTATCCAAATGTATTCAGAGTAGCCAGCTAACAATACCCGTGTAGCTCGAGTGGTGCTTTCTCCCTCTCCATCTGGACCCGATACTTCCGCAACTTGACTCGCGACACAGCCTGGCGTGCAGCAAACAGCTCTTCACCAGCTGAAGATGTCTTCATAGTCGGTAGTGGCCAACAATGGGGCAACGTCCTCAAATTCGCGACAAGCCAAGGCCGTGTCGTAACAACAGGCCAGGACCCCAGTGTTGGGCTGGGCGGCTACATCCAAGGCGGCGGTCACGGTCCGTTGGCTCCTACCTACGGCCTTGCATCAGCCCAAGTACGCCAGGTGACCGTCGTGACAACCACCGGACACGTTCTTGTCGCGAATGAAGTCCAGAACCAAGATCTCTTCTGGGCACTCCGTGGCGGTGGAGCAGGACAATATGGCGTGGTTACCGAATACGTCATCAAGCACCATCCAGCACCCAGTAACGTCGTCATGGCAAGTGTCCAGATAACGCCCCAGGGTAGCTCGAATGCCAGTATGGATGCATCATGGTCAGCAGCAGCCAGTTGGCTCAGCGCGCTCCCCGATCTCATGGACGCCGGACTCTCGGGCGCGGCCACCGTAGCAGTAGGAAGCACGGCACCAAAGTTCTTCCCAAACATGGACGTATCAAACGGCCCATTCACCGGCATCGGGCTCAACCAAGTCTTCTGGGCTTTCAACACCACGCCCGCCGCCGTACAAGCCCTCGTCCAACCCGTCTTGTCCAAGATCCTCGCGTCCAACACAAACAACACCAGCACAAACACCTCCCTTGTCTCGACATCAATGACAGCTTCACATTTTGCAAACTACACCGCCTTCTTCAGCGTCATATCCGGCGACAACGTGGCAGGCGGCGAATCCCTAACCTCATCCCGGCTCCTCGGCCGCCCAGAACTCACCCACACCCCTCACGAACAAGTTGTTTCCTACCTGAAAACCGCAATGGCGAGTCAAAACACCACCGACCCGGGTAACTACGCCACCATTGGCCTCAGCGGCGGTCCCGGCGTGCACTCCACCCCGTCTGCACACTGGGGCGCTTTACACCCTGGCTGGCGGCGCGCATACCTTCACTTCATCGCTACGGGCGCGGCTGTCGATTCCAAGGCCGCCGGATCTGCCAAGAAGGCGCTGCAGATTGGCGCAGACTGGCATGCCAAGGTTAAAGAGCCCATGTGGGAGAAGTGGGCGCCGGGTTCTGGTGCGTACATGAACGAGGCGAACCCATTTATGCCTACGTTCCAGCAAGCGTTTTACGGCAGCAACTACGAGGCGTTGAGGGAGGCCAAGCGCAAGTATGATCCTAGCGAGAGTTTGTATGTGCTTTCGGGAGTGGGGACGGAGAGGTGGGAGTATGATCTTGATAGTGGCAAGTTGTGTAGGTTTTAGACATGGTGGGATGGGGTAGATTTGATCGTTCAGGTGTGTTTTAGAAGCGACGGTCGATAGATTGTATTTTTACATTTCTTCTTTGTTGGCTAGTAATAGAATTGTATGCTCAATTTCGACTGCTGACTGCGTTTGGCGGTGTACGTGGTATGTGTTGTCCGTTTTGGAGGAAGACAGTGGGTCGTAGCAAGTTGATTAGCTTTGGTGTGGGCATGGAGGTGGATGGCGGTCTGGAACAGACGTCAGCTAATTCTGGGGGAAAGCCAAAATGGTTGTAGAAACAGCAATGTTGGTAATTCACAACAGAGGCCACTTGTAAAGTTTGGCTGAAGTAGGTGTTTTCATTTGGGTATTGCAAGACAGCTCATCGTGCTTTCGTCCCACCTCCCTTCCAGCGCTCCCGACCCGACACAAGCCACGGAGCTCTGACGCCCGGCGTCTCCTTGTAGCTAGCGGAGAAGATGTCTCACATGTCGAGCTTTGTCGTCCTCGCCGCTTCGTTTACTGGCCGACCTTCTTCGCCTCCTCCTGCAACTCTTTGATCTGCTGCTTGGTGTCCTTGCCGGTCTCGGAACGATCCGCCTTGACCTGTCCTTTGCGTTAGCCATTGCCCTCACAATCCAATTGTGCGATGGGTTTAGGGCGGAGTATTCAACTTACAGCGCTCTCGCTGTCACTAGCAAGCTGCTCCTCCCAAGCACCCTTGCCTTGCTTTTGCTTGTTCAGCTGCTCCTGCTTCTTCTTCTCAACCTCCTCGGCACGGTTCTCAGAATCTGTTCGGTTGCGTCAGCTCTGGTTCTCTCTCTCTCTCGGTGTACAGCTGGCACGCGTTCAGCGTCATGGTGCTGGATGCTGGGCCGAGGTTGTCGGTGCGGACGTACGGAGAGTTGACTCCTTGCCGGCGGTGCGGGCTATTGACTGGGAGAAGGCCGCACGCTGGACAAAGGCGATGGGAGCGCGACGGGTTGCGAAGGCACGGATGGCGGACATGGCTAGTTTCGTGGGAGGTGTTTACGTGGAGGGAGTAGTAGTTTGCGGGGTTTCGGCGGTGTAGCTCGGAGCTCTAGCTGCACGTGTTATTCGTTTTGTGGGTGTATTTCAACAGGAAGAAATCAATTGAATTGATGAGGAATCTCAGAAGTGTAGAAAAAGCTGGCAGATGACGATTGCAGGAGGAAGGGTTGGTTTGCTAGAGAAAACACACGTTCCTCGGTTAGTGGACGTGACTAGCTTCACCCAACGACGTCATCCTTTCCCCAGTCGGCAATCATCATTACAACAATTGGCCGAGTCCTGTCAGTCGCTCGACGGAGCCCCATTAGTCATGTTCTTGCGACAGCTAGATGAGGCCTAGACCCAGAGAGGCTCTGATGAACTTGCTCTCTCCACGCCTGCCCCTCAACTCCAGCACACGGCACCAGTAGCCGCTTATAGCTTTGGGTTATGTGCTCTTATGCCACAGTAGGGTCGATTATGCCGTCGCTGTCCCCGATATCTGCTAGCCTTTTTTGTACCCACCGTATCAAAGCGAAGATGGGAATGCACAGACCACGAACCCGATGGCTGTGTGCATTACGCTTCGGTACCCTACTTCCACGTCGGCATTGCCGTTATGGTCATTGAATCTAAGTGCGTGGGTGAACCAGAGACCTAGCGAGATACTGTGGTTGACGACGGTGTTTTCAAGAATTCCAGCTGGTCCAGGAGACTGATGGTCGGCGGAGAGCGCGCTAGATAGCACGACGGTTGATGCCGGAGAACTCATCGCGACGAACAGCTAGCCCCATGAGATCTGGTCCAGTTCGTCAAAAAGCAATGAGGAAGCCACCTACGGGAATTTCCACCATGGTCAGCACCGTGGTGATTGAGGTCCAAGCGGAAGAGTAGCGGTATATGCGCGTTGTAGGAGAGTAGTAGTGAAACCGTGATCCACACCTTTCGACGGACTGCCTGATTAGGAAAGAGTTTGGTGGCATGTGAGATGAAGATTTGGGTCTCGAGAATACAGAACATGTCCAACGGAGATATGCGTGTCGGCGCGCGAGCAGGCCCGTCGATACAAGAACCAACATAGCGGGCATGACATATAGCGAGGTATATGCGAGTCGGGTCTCATTGTTTGAGTGTGCAGAATCCAGCATCTACCAATGCACTCTTCTCGGGCAAAAATGCCCGTGTATAATTTCCGTATTCCTGTTCAGCGCGAGTGATGGGATGACGGAGAAGATCGTACGCAATGCGTTCAGATCGATGCTAAATAAGAGTGCAATGGATGCAGTCACGGCTAACATGCACAAGCTCTTCAAGTGATGAGAGATTTCCTGTAATTATTGTGTCAAGTGTGGCTTTGATGATAGAATCTGGTTGATCTTGCTGAGAAGGATACAATCTGCGTTGTCGGTCTTTTCTCCTCTTATCCGCAGATTACAAAAGTTCCAGCTTCTGCTACCTCTTGCCATTCATTCTCCTGTTGACTGCGGTAGATACTCCAAGGACCTCTCAAGAATGTCGCTTTGAGCAACACAGAAACACTACCTGTAGAAGAAGGTACATCGGGATATCTATCAAAAGAGTATATACACAGCTGCATATAGCGAAGCCAAGTGAGTGTTTGGGAACACACTTCTACTGCGATACAACGCAGTATAACTCAACAGCGTTGTGCCTGCGTCTTGTCACCAGCACGTCCATCATATCAATCGGAATATCTATTCATATTCCTATACATGTCGAATTCTTCACACGTACCGACGATAGAGACATGAGATCTACAGCCTTCAATCTCGCTCTCGACATCAGTCTACCATCTCGCTATCAAATACTTACATCTCTTTTTTCAGAACACCAGATTGGTAGAACGTCTTGCCATCCTCCTACCCACACACTCTCTCTTCTACTACTAACCCTCCCTCCTCTCACACCCTCGCCACAGTATAACATCCATTCCACCATCCACTCAACCTCGCAACCCATCACCAAACCTAAGATTTCGTTCCTTTTTCTCAGAGAAAGAAAAAAAAGGTAACGAAAGCAAAAACTCTAAATCAGACCACTTCCAACCCCAATCAAATTTCACATGACCAAGCATTCCACAAGAGTCAGGACTAGCACAAAGAGCTCGAATCAACATCCTATCTATCCATCACGCATCCACGCCAAGAGGAACGAAATGGGGAGGGGGAGGGGAAGGGGAAACAAATACACTACTAACATTAGCACACCAACATCTCTACCGGATTAGCCCACCACCATTTGCCCCAAAAACACACGTTTTGCCTCGCTCGAAATCGAGTCTAGAATGGCCATATGGCACCAAAACCTGATGATCTACATGGCAAAATAGCCCGCCGCCGCTTGCTCCCTCGTGACAGCTCCCCTAAGCTAAGTTTACCACTAGACTCCCGCCAAAGAGAACGGGCCACAGGTCGGCACAGCTTCCCCCTTGAACTAGCCTGCATTCGTTTCTTCCCCCTGGGTCGTCCGTCCGCATAGAGAGAGAGGGGGAGGGGGAGGGAGTACCTGGCATGGCATGGGCATCCCCGAGCTTGGTGTGGGTGAGGTTTTAGTCAGTCTGGTCCCTGGGAAAGCTTTCCCAAGTGCATGCCCAGGTGACATTGCGTGGCGTGCGGGGTCAGCTCAGCTCAGCTTAAAGTGTTGGGGATCCATCTTCCATCAGTTTAGTGTAGAGCTTTCACACGACATGCAATGATAAGTAGAGCGCTAGCAGTGGGTTTGGAGAGTTGATCAATGAGTAAGTTGCGTGTATTCCTTTCCTAGGATATTCACTGCCCTCGAACGTAAAAGTTGCGAGGCGTGTAGATATAAGAGGGAGAACAGAGCTCCCGATGGAAGGAGAGAGAGAGAGAAAAACATCCAAGAAGAGATCGCCAACCACACCGGGTGTCGTCGTATAAATCCTCGTACAAAGAAACCAAAAACAAGCAGAGAAGATAGGAAAAGAGACACCAGCGCCTGATTGCGTAGAATCATCCCAGCGTCGTCGTACAAAGTAACGCGACAAGGCGAACGAACCCCAAGACAACACCGTGACTGATGACCCACCAACATGTACGCTTAGACACCGTCGCTTTCGCAAGTTATAGGGCGCCCAAACAAATGGTATATACCAACACCGCTCCGCTTGAAACCCGAAGAGAGAACCAACCAGCGACATAGGAAATCTACCTCAAGTTTTTCAAGGTGTTTGAAAAAACAGATAGCAATAGCCAGAAATGCGTGAACAGACCCAGAAAACACCGTTGTATGTGCAAACCGCCGTTAATGCGTTAGCGCTTTCAACGCTTGAAAGCAATCGAGAACCAAAGCGCTTCTATCCGGTAAAATGATATGTGGTTTTGTTTTTTCGCTGACAATTGCAACACCGTCGCCGAGTTCAAGTGGTATACCCAAGATATGTCGAAGAAGATATCGTAGATTTATACAATGTGGACATGGTGAAGGAGGATTAGAGATCCAGGTAGCCCACTAGCCTAGCAACACACAACGCCGCAGTTGTTGACCGAACAAAAAACGCTTGGCCTCGTGCCTGCAAGACTCTACCAGCGTCGCGACATGAACTGTTGCTGCATCTGTCGGTTGGGGGAGACAGAGGGAGGTGGGCTCGCAACAGCTCGTGTCGAGGGGTCAACAATGGGGATGGCATTGCGTGTACGCTGGGCTAGTGGCTGGTGTAGCTTGGTTTGCGAGTTGTTCTGTTGGAAGCCGACAGGGGTGTAGGGGTTGGGTCCCGCTGAGGACAGGACAAAAGAGGGGGTTGGCTGCAGCTGGTGCTGGAGAGGCGACTGCTCGGGCGAGCCGCTCGATAGCGAGGAGCGGTCTGAGCCGGAAGAGTGGATGGATTGCAACTGTTCATCGAGTGTCAGCGCCTGCTTGGGCGGATTCGATGACGGGTGGCAAATATTGGCGACTTACATCATCCTCGGTGAGCAGGTGGAAGGGGCAGAACATCTCATCGTCCTCGATGTCGAATGACCTGGCAGCCTCGAAGTCGCGCTTGTATGCGATGAGGGTGGGGGGCTCGACGTTGAATTCCTTGGGGGTGCGGACTTGGCGGAACTGCTTGTTGTGCTGCTGAGCCGAGATCCGGGGCGCCCTCCGCGATCGGCCACCATGGTGGTTGTGCGAGTGGGCGTTGAGATGTTGAGCGTGGTGCTGCTGGGCACCGTAGTTGAAGAATTGCGACATGGTTGGTGGTTGTTGTTGTGGTGGTGGTGCTGGATGGGATGACTGTTGTGTGTGAGGAGGGGTTGCGTTGTAATCCAGGGAGCTCGACCACAACAAAGGCGAAACAAAGGGGTATAGCTCGGAAGGTGGCGGTTGTCGAGGATGCAGGGTGGATGCAAAGGGAGGCGGGAGCGGTGCGGGTGCGTAGAGTATTATTTAATAGTATTGCGATGCGAGGCTGAGAGATGTGGTTGAGAACGCTGGTGCAGAAGTGCGAGGAACAAGAGGAGCGAGAGGGCTGGAGAAGAACAGGCTGGGTCAGATGGATGGGTGGGTGGCCCGAGCGCGTCGACCGACACAAGCGATAGCGTGTCATTGGCTGGCTTCATTGCGCCAATTCGCCACCACGCCTCCTTGGACCGATGCGCTCTAGCTCAGCAGGGGGGCCTGCGCTAGGGCCTTTGGAACGCTTGCGCTGCATAGTCAAAGGCGCGCCGCCAGCGTGCGCAGACGGATCGCCTCCCGAGGGCATCGATGTCCATCCATCGAGTATCAGACAAGCCTGGTTCAATAGTCGGCCATGCCTATCGCCCTCACCTAGTTCCCTCGATACATGGCCATTCCATGGGGATGCGCGCGCAAAAAGTAAACCCCAGCCGGCGGCGCATCGTCAAACAGCCCTTATGCGACACACACGACGCTAACAGCTGCCAGCCCAGCGAGGCTGTGAGCTGGCTGGCAAGTGACCACCCACAGTGTCTGCGCCCTGACCGCTTCTTCCGCACCTCTACCGTCGCCAGGGGAATGCAGGTAGTCTTCCCGGCCAGGACACGACCACTTGTCCAGCGTCGGCAAGGGCGGCCGCATCGCAAGTCCAAGTCCCCAAGACGTGCTGGAGTGAGGCCGCGAGCGCTGGCGCGTTGGAGCGCTAACGCAGCTGTGCCTGCGACGGCCAGCAGCAGCTTGACACCGTGGTTGAGCGCATGCCAGGATTCGCTCGTGGCGGCCGAGTCCCTGCCGACGGCGCCCGCAAATCGCTACCATTATGAGCGCACTGCCCATGTTCTGGAATGCCGCCAGCGCTGCGCACCCGGATGCCCATGGGAAACTTGTTGAGCCCATGCTGCGAGACCAGCTCGCCCACCCGCGACCACCATGACCATCATATGAGCAGCGCCATTCCATGCGAACATCCTGCTGCCGTTGCGCCTCCGACAGCAACGTCTAAACGCCCACGGCCATGCGAGACGTTTTGCACCCGTCAGTGTTTCCGAACATGCCCGGACCTCACCCTGTGTGACGTCCCGACGGCCAGGATATAGCGCCATGGCCAATAGAAATCAGCCACTACGTGAGACCAAAATAGCGCTTCTGCACTCGTTCTCCCCGGCCCGGACGCTCGACGGCCTGTCCAGTGATCGACAATCCTTAGCAGCAGCTCCTGTCGTCACTCCATCTTCGTGTGATGTCGTCCTGTTACTGTTGTTGGGGGCCCTCGGTGACGGCCATCGTGAGCTGATCAAAGCCAGCCATGAATCATCCTCGAGTGCCGTGACATCCATGCAGCGCAAACGTTCCTGCGACGGGCCAAGCTTTGTCGCATGAAGAATCGCCCTTGGCTCGAAACAGACTCATTTGATTGTCTCTCCCCACCCCGTGGGATGAGCAAGTGGACGCGAGCTGAATCAATATATTCGAATTTAGGCCAAGTGCTGCATTGATGCATGGTTCATGCTGATACTGTAAGGCTGCTTGCTGCTTTAGAGTGCTGACACCATGATAAGCACGCCAAAGCACGCCGACAGAGGAGCCGGCAGCTCGTGGTGGCACAGTGGAGTGATTGTTGGGACAGCCATGCTGCGACTTTGTGGCGCATGCTCGTCGTGACGAATGGGCAATGTCTGTCCCTGATGCTGTTTCATCGGTATAAAGTCTTTGAAGACGACGCTGTCAAGCGTTTGGTGTACCGTGCATTGCTACGTGATAGGACCGGCGAGCTGCTGACGCCCAAATATCATATCTAATCATCTTGGAAGAGTCTACGGAGGGGCTCGGGTTTTTCTTTAAAGTCACACCTCCAAATAATACAGCTTACGCTGAGGATGCATCGACTTGTACATTACGACTGAATTAAATAAGTCATGTTGTATACTCCTATCCTACTTCTTGTGTAACAGGTGCAACTTATTAAAAACGAGCTCTCGATAAAGGTTTAGCTAGAACCAAAATGCTACTTGTCCAAACCTCTCGCCTTGACAAATTTTGCAATCTGGTCTTTGCATGTTTTATCGGTATAAGTCTCCCAAACTTCGTACAATGAGATCAGCTCCTGCGTGCACTCCACAACAGCCTCGATATCTACACTACTTTCAGCAAGCCAATCGACTAGTTTCTGTATTCGTGCCTGCATCCCTTGTCCACCACGTGCATTGCCCAGCGTCTGCAGTGCGTTGTTCATCCCGGCTGCATTGACCTGGGAGCCGATGGGCTTGAGAACGACTGCCAAGAATATCGCTGTTATGGCGATAACATGCGGTGCGTGGAGAAGCGGAAGATCTGTCAGGTAGTGATCGTTGATGATTGACCATGCCAGGGCATTTTCTTCCTGGGTCAGTTGGAATTGAGTCTGGAGTTCAGCGAGGCTGCGGTATGGGTGGTGGAGGATTAGTTGAGAGTTCATCTCAGAGATGAGTGTAAATTCACACTCGCCGATTTTGGAAACGTCGTTGAATGATGTGTCTGTCTTTGTCAGAATTGCGTTTTGTTCTTACATTCCGTAACTTACCCCAACAGTGCCGCGCCTCTGCCAATACCATTCTAATGTGCTGCGGACACTCTTCCATCTTACACGCCAAGTACAATGCTGTTGCCAGCACGAGCGCTGGGTTCGTCCTCCGGATCTCGACCTTGGCATAGAATCGCCGGACATACACTTGTGCGGTAGCCAGAGCTTGCTGTCGAATTCCTAGCGGTCTTGCCATTTTGGAGAGTTCTAGGACATGTCAGCATGCACCTGGATTAACGTGTCACGTTACGTACGATGAGAGAAGTAGATGCTCATATGCCTCCGATCTGGCAGAGGATACAGGTTGACCAGATTGCGTTCTGCATCTTCCATTCTCTTTCGCTCCAGTGCTAGCTCTTGTTTCGTAAAAGTCCAGAACTTGCGTTGGGTTGACTCCCAATAGCTTGAAGACATGATGGGCTGAGTAAACTGGCGCCTGCTGTACGCCGAGATATGACAGGAAGCCGAAGTCGCTGGATTCCTCAAAGAATGGCTTTATTTTGTTCCCTGATTTTCAGGTGATCTAACAACGCTCTCAGATGTCGCTTTGGTGTCGAAAGCGGTGCCAGCAGGCTGGAACTCCGATATCGTTCGAAGAAGCAAGATGCCAGCGGACCAGTAAAGGCCGGATACACGGCGACCGGAGAAAAACTATTTCAATGCATAGTCGAACGACACCTGGACGCAGGACGATCGCACGAGACGTGAAGCGTGGAAAGAAGGATGGTGTTGCAATGTCGCGTCCAATCAGGTGCGAGCGAGTGTTAGGCTCCTGTCGTGGCTTCCCTCGGTGTTGCGGCATGCCCCGCTAACCCCTTTCAGCCGCCCTCTCCAAGCTTTGAGACTGACCTCATACCCCACGTCGAAGCCTGTACGAGCCTGTCTCCTTGACAGCTTAGCCATTCTCCTCGCAATTCACCTCGCCCGGTGCCGATAGTCGCCCTCCCGTGTGTGTCGCGACCCTCAGCCATGATAGACCGGAGATAGCAGGACGAACATGGACACAAAGAGCGCAAGCGTTGCCGACGCCAGGGTGGACGAATTATGGTCAACACTCGACACGCGCAAACAGGGCCACCTTGACCTCGCAGGCCTCAAGAAGGGGCTGCGAAAGCTGGACCATCGTAAGAGAGGACGGCGCGCGCCGAGGTTCCGTCGCTGACAACAACGCTGTAGCCTTGAAAAATGCGGACCAGCTCCTCAATGAGGTAATGCAGGCTGTGGATATCGATGGGAACGGAAGAATCACAGAGCAGGGTGGGTGTCTTCCTCTGGTTCAAAGCAAAGACATACTGACACTACTGCCCAGAATTCCGCAAGTTCGTACACGAAACCGAAAAGGAGCTCTACCACCTATTCCAGACCATCGACTACAATCGCGACGGCAGGATCTCCAAAGATGAGCTGCGCTCGGCTTTGCGGACTGCCGGACTTGCTGTTCCCAATAGCAACCTCGACAAATTCTTTTCCGAAGTGGATACCAATAATGACGGGACCATTAGTTTTGAAGAATGGCGGTACGTACTCAGTCAATTCGATCATCACACATCGACTTGCGCGTCCGAGTCTGGACCATGAGATGACATGGTGGAAGCGTGAACATCCCAAGACTATACGGTTGTTGGATCGCTGTTTGAGCTACACCATGAAACGGTCTCGCGATGCGCACAGGCATCGTAACGAACTTTCACGACACCGTACTGACTGCTAAAGGGACTTTCTTCTCTTCATTCCGGTCAGCGCGCCATCCCTCCACGCCGTAATGTCGTATTTTTCCGCCACTATGAAGGTCAACCAGGAAGGCGACGTTCTCATCAGTGACGACACAATCCAAGGCCTAGGTACTACACAGCGTTTTCTTCGTTTTTTCTTTGGTTCCCTTTTCATTGTAGCGCACACACCGCCCTACAATCCCCTTCCAGAGGCTAGCGCACCGCTCGGAGGAATGGCTTCATCACCTTCAACGATGGTCTACCAAGGTGCAGGTGCCCTCCCGCCACGGTCCGAAGCCGACAAGAGCAGCGCTTCTTCTTCCATTGAAGAGATACCGGCAAAACTTATAGAGAGCTTAGGAACCATGCTGATTGCTTGTGTTCCCAATCCAGGCTATTTCGTGGCGGGAGGCGTTGCAGGCATTGTTTCTCGCACCTCGACTGCTCCGCTCGATCGTTTGAAAGTCTACCTCATCGCCCAGACCAGTGTGGCGGAGGAAGCCGTCGTCGCTGCGAAGCATGGCAATATCATCAAAGCTGTTATGAATGCTTGGAGGCCACTTGCAACGGCCACCAGGGAGCTATGGCAGGCTGGCGGTATGCGCAGCTTGTATGCTGGTGAGTCCATATCGACATGTCTTGCTCGCGGGCTCTGACAAGCGCAATAGGAAACGGGTTGAATGTCGTCAAGGTGATGCCTGAATCGGCCATCAAATTTGGTTCTTACGAGGCAAGTATAATCAAGTGAACCAAACGCTTCCCCTAACTCGCGCAGGCTGCGAAACGCGTCTTTGCCAAGATCGAAGGCCATAATGACCCCGCCATAATACATTCCTGGTCGAAATTCGTTGCTGGTGGTCTAGCTGGTGCGTTCTTCCACGTCATGATCTAACATGCACACATTTAACGCGCTCGTAGGAATGGTCTCTCAATTCGCCGTATACCCCATCGACACGTTGAAGTTCCGCATGCAATGCGAAACGGTCTCCGGCGGCCTCCACGGCAACCGCCTCATCTGGGCCACGGCGAAGAAGATGTGGAATGCTGGGGGCGTCGCCGCATATTACCGCGGACTCCCCATGGGTATCGTGGGTATCTTTCCCTATGCGGCCCTCGATCTGGGGACCTTTGAGTATCTCAAACGCTATGTCGCGCGCCGCAACGCTAAACGCCTTGGCTGCCATGAACAAGACGCTGAGCCGGGAGGCTTCATGACGGCAGCTATTGGCGGCTTTTCTGGGGCGTTTGGTGCTAGTGCAGTCTATCCACTTAACCTCTTGCGAACCCGGCTACAGAGTCAAGGCACTGTCCTCCATCCACGAACATACACGGGAATCATGGACGTGACAAGGCAGACTATCAAGGGCGAGGGAATGAGGGGGCTTTTCAAGGGTCTAACGCCAAACTTACTCAAGGTTGTGCCAGCTGTGAGTATTACTTATGTTGTTTATGATAAGAGTAAGAAGGCGTTGGACCTGCCCTGAAGGAAGGTAGATGATACTGAAGAGGTGGAGAGACGTGTCGAACATTGACAATCATCCACCACCTACCAACAACGCCGAGTCCTGGCGGGATACGAAGCACCGGTCTGGTTGGACCTTGACCTCCAATCCACAGCACCAGATCACAAAGCCCCTAGCGGGGTTTCCACCTTGCATATACACAGACAGCGATACCCTTCGAGCTTCAAAATTTTTACGGTCTTCTATTCTCTTTTTTTTGTTGCATCATGCGTGGCGTTTAGGCGTCAGCGGCTGTGTATCACCCAACTGGTGTGCGCAGATGTTGGGTCTTGGGAATGAGCGAGAGCATCTGATGTTGTGGCTTTGTGTTGGCGAAAGCAGACGTGTTGTTGTAGTAGTAGTAGCAAGTGGTGGGTAAGGATGGTGGAGGTCCCAAGTAGGAGCATGGCATGATCAACAGTACGATGCATGCTAGTCTTTAGCTGCTACAAACAATGACTGGTTCCTTTACTCCGTCTCAATAGCATGGAACTGCCGCTTGATCAAAAGTCTAATTCCCTTTATCCTCCCATTTCAAACAAATAACGCCCATGGAGAGACCTATTAAATGCTTTACTACTTTGTAATAACAATCAACAAAACCAGTATAATGATGAGCACCACAATAACCGTCAAACTCCAATTCTCCCGCGCTTTCCTCGAAAACCTATCTAGCCTGCCTCTTGCACGCACAAACTGCGCCGCATGTCTATCCACGCCTTCCTCGACATCATCCAGCAACATGACCTGCCCGTCTAGCTCGTCGCCAATCTGCATGGATAGCTCGCGTTGGCGACTGATACTCTGGCCTAGTTGATCGAGCTGCGAGTCTTGGTCCGCGATGACGCGGTCGTGGTAGGCGTGGATCTGCTGGTTGTCCAGATGCGCGAGATTGGGGCTGGCGTCGTCGGGGGGATCGTCGCGGTAAGGGAAGAGGGAGGCGCGGTTTGCATCATCGTCATTGTCATCGTCGTTGTCGCTGAAGCGGACGGATTTTGAGGCTGAGCGTGTAGTAGTGGGTTTCTTGTTTTGGGCGGCGGCAAAGTCGCGGGATAGAGAGGGGTCGTTGGGGGAGGTTAGGGCTGGTGAGGTCGTTGTTGCTGCTGCTGCTGGGTTGGTGGGTGTGAATTGCGATGTGAGTTCAGCCAGTTGGCTGCGGAGGCGGGGGAGTTGTGAGGTTATGGAACTTGAGACGGCGACGGTTAGTTCCATGGCCATGTTCTTGTTGGTATAACAGGCTCTCTTACTCGTCTGATGTGTCTTGGACTTGCGACTCCAATGATTCAATGCCGGAGCGCAGTTGCTCCAGTGACCGTGAGATCTGGCCATCTTGGCTGTTGGACGGGAGGTTGAGGGATAACGCGCGTTGGCGCTCGAGGAGGGAGAGCTTGATGTGGTCGGCGAGGAGGAACAGCTGTGGGGGGTTGGTTGCCATGATGGCTTGTGGCGGGTGAAGGGTGGATTCAGGGCGGAGGTGTAGTACGGGGACAGTATGCGGGAGTAGGGGCAGGCGCGGACAAGGCGAGTGAGTAGACGCGATTATTCACAAGGGCAATGCAAAGACAGAAACACACGGGACGTTGCAGCTACAAGCTCGTGCCTGGTGGAGATGATAGCAAGGCTGCTGCACTCCAGGAGCGGACCGCTGACGACAGCCCTGAGAGGTGGTCCACATGCCGTGGCTGGGCTGGGGTATCTCCTGCATGCATGCACGACGGCACGGCCATCAGCCGGCATGCCTCGCTCTTGCGCAACCACACACAACAACACCCGCATGCTTCACTCGCGCTGCTGAAATATGCGCAGACCTGACCGGGCTATATAACTTTTGCTTCTGGCGCTCTGCAGCCAGTGAATGACTGTCAGGGCGACCATCCTCCAACCACCCACCCCGCCAGACTCACTTGGATCGACACTCAACGAGGAGACCCGAGACAGCGCATCTCACCGCCGACTGCTGGGCGGCGCGCACAAGAAGCCTCGCTGTCCCGGCTATCCAGGACAGCTGGTCAAACATGTCGTCTCCCAGTCCCATCCCACCTCCCAACGACCGACGTTCTTCACGCTCCTCGCGCTCTTCCAGCAACGCCGCCTGGACAGGCTGGCCCGACGAGCACGACGACAGAATCATGGTCGGTGGCCCTCCAAGCAGCCCCTCGCCCCTGGCTGTCCGCGTGTCCAATTCGCCGTCAACGGCGCGTCGTCACAGCCGAATTATCAAAGTACCCCCCGAGTTCGCCAACCTCGAATACGTCTCCGCGCCCGACAGCAACCTCGTCTGCCTCATCTGCCATGCGCCCTTCGACAGGCCCGTCCAGCTCTCCTGCGAGCACTACTTTTGCCGCGAGTGTCTCGATCACGCGTGGGCCCCGCAGCCCAGCGGCCGGCGGACGTGTCCTACGTGTCGGCATGCTGTGGAGACGGACCATGACATTCGTCCTGTGCCCAAGATCATCGAGACAATGCTCGACGAGCTGGTGGTCAAGTGTCCCAACACAAAAGCCGGCTGCAACTGGGTCGACCAGCGCGTCAATGTCCACGATCATGTCATGCTGTACTGCGAATACACGCCCGTCGAGTGCTCTGCCGCAGACTGTCGCCTGCAGATATCCCAAAAGGATTTCCACAAGGGCTGCTTGCATTACACCGTCAGCTGTGACGACTGTCACGCTTCCCTGCTAAAGAAGGACCTCGAGGAGCACCAGCGAAGCCTCTGCGACAATCGCCTGACCATCTGCTCGCTGTGTGAAGCTCAAGTCCTCCGTCTAGACCTCAAACCCCACATCAACAACGACTGCCCCAAACATGTCATATCATGCCAAGGCACAATCGTAGGCTGCAAGTTCACTGCCGAACGAGTCGACGTCTTGAACCACGAAAGCAGCTGCGCAATGGCGACAATGGCCCCCCACTTCCGCGAGCAACAAGCCCGCATCGAGCGCAACGAAGCAAGACTGGAACCCCTGACGCGCAAAGTCGGAATCCTCGAAGACGGTCTTACAAATATCACCAACTATCTTTATCCCGCCAATGGAAACGACGCGAGTTTTCCCGTCACCGATCCTTTGGATCCAAACGATGCGCAGGCTCCTACGCCAGACTTCAGACTCCCGCCTGCGTCGTTCCCACCGGCAGGGAGTGAGAACAACAACACCGCACAACCTCCTTTCGACTCGCAGGTCCATCATCTGCTTACGCTGCATGATAGCCTGCGAGAAGAAGTCAGTCGCATCGCAAATGCGCTTACCGACCTCGACGGCCGCACCAACATGATGATTATAAACGAGAGTCAACGCTCAAAAGACGAAATGCTGCATGTCAACGCCGCTATCAGCAATATGCGCATGCACTTGCAGTGGGTCGTCAGTGCGACGCTGCAGCAGAGGAGTAATGCTGCCGGCGGCAGTTCCAGGACACCGGGCAGCGGTGCTACGACTGCAGGTGCAAGCGGCGCAAGCAACGGTGCACGAGCGAATACTGGTGCTAGGCCGGGCATGGGTGTCGTAGGGTTGACGGGGTTTCGCAGGCTTAGTGACAGTAATAGGCAAGACACTAAGCTGTAGAGGAAGGGGGCAATGATGACGACGATGATGATGGTTACGATGATCGCGGGCGAGCATCCATGATTGATATGTCTTATGAAAAGTGAGGGTTTTGGGCGTTTTTCTTCTATACAGGGGAGGTTATAAGGGGTTGATTGTTTTTTGTCTTTGGAAGAGGGAGGAAAGATTGAACATTGCTTCTCTCTTGGAAGCGGAGTTTGAGAACTTGGTATGGGAACAAGGTTGAAATACCCCATCTTCTTCTTTTACTTTGGTAGTTTAGGTGCTGCGGCATGGAAAGGGGATTTTACATTGAAAGCTTTCCACCACAAAGGGAAAAACTAGGAGATATCAGATTAAGAAAAAAAGAAGAATATATCATATAACTTGAGATGAACCCCTTATCAGACACGGCCGTTGCAATTATGTGTGAAAAGCGATTTTAACACGTGAAAACGCGTTGCCATTCGGAGGATCATTGGTGACGTAATGCATGCGTTTTATCGAGAACCCTGTAGATCTACGAGGTTCAAAATAATCCTGGCAACACAATTGTTGTTCGTCATTTGCTTTGTACAAGAGATCAGCGTGTCATTTTTGCTAGAATGTCTGGTAATGCTAATTCAGATATCCTAATTGTGAGTATTCGCTTTTTTCGACTCACTCACTCGCTCGCGGGCTTGCTTGCACATTGAGCACCGCCATGAACACGTGCACACACACACACATATCTGTCCACGGGCAGATCCAAAAGGCAGGAAAGAGCAAGGGAATAACTTTGGAAACAACGGGAAAAAGGCCAAGAGAAATAGAGAATGGAAGCGAATAACGTTGACATGACAAAAAGGCCGGCGCAATAGCAGCCTTCACAGTAGACCTCCTCGTATACCCCCTCGACACGATAAAAACACGCATCCAAAGTCCGCAATATGCAAAACTGTATACAGATAGTCGGACAGGCAAGGTCGATCCTAAGCTATTCCGCGGTGTATACCAGGGCATCGGAAGTGTGATTATCGCTACGTTGCCTAGCTGTAAGCCATTCTACCTTCCCATCCCTATCCAACACAACGTACAAGTCAAGAACAGATTCGCAACAACTGACTGCGGGCGCAGCAGGAGCCTTCTTCACGACATACGAACGCACAAAGTCGCTCTTTACAACATGGAACACCAATACCAAAGGCAAGGATATCCTCCCCATCGCCCTCGTCCACGCATCCGCATCGAGTCTCGCAGAACTCGTATCCTGCGCCATCCTCACGCCCGCAGAAGTCATCAAGCAAAACGCGCAAATGGTGTCTTCCTCCAGCCCTACAAACGCCACGCTCGACACGCTGCGCAGGTTTCGGTCAAACCCTTTGGCGCTCTGGCGCGGCTACACGGCTCTCGCGGGCCGCAATTTGCCTTTTACGGCGATGCAGTTTCCGCTTTTTGAGAGACTGAAGGGGGGTATCAAGGAGTATAGGGATGAGAAGGGGTTGACGAGGGGTGGGGTCGTGGAAATGGGTGTTATTACTGCGGTTAGTGCTGGGAGTGCGGGGGCGGTGTCGGCGGTGATAACGACGCCGATTGATGTTGTGAAGACGAGGGTCATGTTGGCGGCTGGTGATGGTGGTTCTGGCTCTGGGCCTAGCAAAGATGCGCAGAGTGGTGGTGGTGCTGGTGGGGGGAAAGCAGGCTTGGTCGACGCCCTTGGTAACTCGTCAAAAGACACGGTAAAGAAGGTGGCGGATTCCGTCAAAGGCCGAAAGAGCAGTTGGGCAATAGGCAAAGAGATTGTAGAAGAAAAGGGGTTCAGAGGGCTGTGGAGAGGTGGTGCGTTGAGGGGTGTTTGGACGTTTATTGGGGCGGGGTTGTATTTGGGGGCATATGAGAGTGGGAGGGTTTGGCTGGCGGGACGTAGGGGCGAGAAGGTTGATGAGGATGAGCTGTTTTGAATGCGTGGAGAGGAGGAGAGTCAAGATGCATTGTAATGGTATGCTCTTGGTGCAGAGAGATGCTATACGACCCTGGCCATCCTCAGCAACCCCAGATGTTGATTCTCTCGAGCCTCCGAGCCATTGGAGTATCTACGCTACCTTAGCATGGCTTCAGAATATCCTACAAACGGTGGATACCTCCCTGTCGAAATGACCATCGAAACTGAGGGCAGTACCTTAGCACAGGTCGCCCGAGTGATAGAGGTGCTACCTTCGGTCTCTCATCAAGGAGACCCGAATGACCGCCGTTGATCTTGACTGAGACTGTCGCCATTTTGATGAATTGCAACACCAATACGGCAAGTGCTTGTGTTAGCCAGGCCCTTCCCCACACCCCCAACCACAAACTCGTCTCAGTTATTCCATCGCCAACAGATTCAGCACGAACCGGAAAAACTTGCAATCGTTCATCTTGTCGGATTGATTAATGTTCAATTTACGGAACGGCCCGAACACGAAAAGGACGTACCCCATGTTTCAGATTCGGCTAGTTGGCCTGACCACCGACAGACCATCCAACATCGTGGACTATCGAATCATGCAGCGCAAATATGCACTGGCATCGACCTGGGACTTGACTAGGCGCGCTCCAACAATTTTTGCGTCATTTTGAACTCTTCTCACGACAGGTTGCCGTCTTTGATTGGCGGAACCCACCACGCGTTGTGTGTGTGAGGGGTAGGCCCTGTTCGTGGACTAAATCGTTCCGCAGACGAGCTAGATCTTGACATTGACAAGCTTCGCCAACGTTGCTTGAATTACGCCTTGAAGCTGATGTGCCAAGAGATGTAATGTGCTTCTTTGAAATGCTTAAAAAGACCAGGACTCTGAGTTGCAATGGAAAGGATATCTTGTTACAAAGCATTCTCACTTCCATTAGCGCAATGAAGACGTCAATCTTTGCCAGTGTTGTATTCCTTGTTTCCTTTGCTGCCGCTCAGCAAGGCTCTCCTGTTGGTTATGCTTCTCAGAACGGTGGCACTACGGGTGGAAAAGGCGGTACCACGACGACTGTAGCGTCCTTGGCTGAATTCACTGCTGCCGTCGGCAAGAAGACAGACACGACAGCCAAGGTCATCTACATCAAGGGCGCAATCACTGGCCCCGCAAAAGTCAACATCGGCTCCAACAAGTCCATCCTCGGCACCGACTCCAGCGCCTCCCTCACCAACGTAGGTCTATACGTCGACAAGTCCAAGAACGTCGTCATCCAGAACCTCAAGATCTCAAAGGTCCTGGCTACCAATGGCGACGCCATCGGCATCCAGGCATCGACCAACGTCTGGGTTGACCACGTCGATGTATCGTCTGATATTGATCACGGTAAGGATTACTACGATGGCCTCATCGACGTCACGCATGCTTCGGACTGGGTTACCATTTCTAACAGCTATATCCACGACCACTACAAGGCGTCTCTCGTCGGCCATTCCGACAGCAACGGCGCGGAAGATACAGGCCATCTGCACGTAACCTACGCCAACAACTACTGGAACAATATCAGTTCGCGCACCCCGTCTATCCGCTTCGGAACCGGCCACATTGTCAATAGTAAGTTTCCTCTCTCTCTCTGTTGGTAGTCATGTTGGACTTCCCGCCCGCTAATGCGTATCACAGGTTACTACAACGGTGTCTTCACCAACGGCATCAATACCCGCCAAGGCGCCCAGGTACTGGTTGAAAGCACCGTGTTTGAGAACACGACCGAGGATATTGGCTGGTATGATGGGAAAGTGACGGGCTACGCGATTGCCAATGATGTTAGTCTTGGGTCGGGAACGAATACTGCGCCCAAGGGTACTTTGACCTCGGTTCCATATACGTATACTAAGCTTGGGAGTGCGAATGTCAAGGCGTCGGTGCAGGCGAATGCGGGTAATAAACTCACTTTCTAGGTGGGCTTGTGGGGGGTGGAAGATGGGCAGCTGTTTTGTTGGATGTACGATGGCTTCGTGACTCTCTGGGACTAGATAACGCTCGTTAGTTGTCGCATCAGTGTGGAGTTTGAGCAATATGGTATCTCGTATTGAGTACTTGACGGGTAGTTGATCTTTCGAAAACTCATTTCTTATGTGCTTTGGGCTCCTCTGTACTAAGTACCAACACTTCAACAGTGAAACAGGGAACCATAAGAGGAGATGGTGGTTCAGAATGCATTGTGATTTGATATGCTGTTCTTGTCTGGTTGACGCGTCAGTTATCCAGTAGCCTGGGTAGTGTTGATGTCGACTTTTTGCGCGAAAGTCCAGGTGCGAGTTTGTCAGATCCGTTCACTCCATTCCCTCTCCCCTCAGACGCTGACCAGTGGCCACGGTTGTCGGTTGGCAGTGACAGTAAGGCTTAGTATGGTTGGAAGATTCCATCGAACTAGTGATATCCTTTCGTTGCTTCTACCCTGGCAAGTTACTCTTCACCGACATCTGACTCAAGCTTATCTGTGTTGAGAAACATCATATTAGCACTGTAAAACAATAATTTCATGAAGGACTTTGTATAGAAACCTACCCAAGCAAGGAGCCAGCCTATGGCGTAGAGTAATCAGTAGACGCTCCAAGCCGTCGCCTACGGACCTCTGTCCCTCCGTATAAAGAAGAACCTTGTACTCAGTACTTCTCGGTGTGTCGATCATGATGACATAGCTTTTGTAAACACCTTGAGATTTAGTGCTAATGACGTCGAGGACAGAAACCGGGGTGAGCTCATCAGCATGCAGGATACGGAAGTGAGCTACTTGAGTTAGCACTGGGTGTTGGACGTACCAGAAGCTGCAAGGTACGTACACAATATCTGTTCCTTCATCCTCTCCTCCCACATAATGGTCTCATACTTGGACATGGCCATGGTGTCTGCCGTACCTGGTATTGCTGTCGAATGTCTTGTGTTTAACAGAGTCGCGAATGTTGGGTGAAGAAGAGGTGGAGGTAGTGCGCGAAACATCTCTTGTTTACCCAAATACTGTTGGAGTATAAGAGTGATTGATTGATGCTACGGAGGATGCTGACTGTATAGTATGTACGCTAAGGGTTGCGGCAAGCACCAATAACAACATGAGATGGTTCTTTCCATCAAATACTTCGCTAAGCACTATGTCGCATTCACCTTCACCTTCACTTCGTGTCTTCCAGTCCAAGCTTGCCCGCAGTCAACAATATAAAGACTGCAAATTTCGAATCCGGCTTTCCCTTATCTCTCTTACACGCGACTTCAAACAACTTCTCAGCAACAGCGAGAGCGAAGATGCATTCTACCTTTGAGCCCACCGTCCACGACGAGCTGGCACAGGCCCAGTACGAAGAGATGCTAAAAGCCAGGGTGCTCAGTGAGTTCAGGCTAGCCTACTATTTCACTACGTGTCTAACGCATTCGGCAGATCAAGCCAAAACAGTCTATAGTAGCGAAGATCAGTGCCAGACTTGCAAATTCGAAGTCGTGATCAGCTATTCCGACACTGAGGGCGCACACAACAGGGATTCTATAATCGCATCACTCGTTATGGACCCCTTCGAGTGCGGCCATGGAACCGACCAGTTTCCTGCCTTGGTAGTTCTACTAGAATCGGAAGTGACGTCCAACGTACAGCGTGCATACGAGTCCTTGGTCCATGCTCTGCGTGTCAAGATGACTAAATCCCTGGGTTAGTGAAGGGCAGATTCAAGAATGTATCACGCATACTAATGACTTTCAGAGTATGCAGATTATGACCATGTAGAGCATGTAGAGCAATTGGTCAACGAGCTCTGAGATCGTCGGGATCGTTGCCATGAGATGCCATAACGTCTATCAAGAGCAATCTAGTATCAACTGCTAAGCTACATGTGTAGCTTGATGCGGATTTGTTTTCTAGGAGCATTGTGAGAGTGATGATGGTTGTGTACTAGGAAAACCTAAGACAGCAGATGAAAGAACCACTTTCGCAACCAGCCTAGTCAAAATGACAACCACTTGTACTCTGCTGTATGCCATCATGAACTTCCTCTTGTGGTGTATGATCTGATCCATCGAACGACCTTAGCTTCGTTACTGTCCTACTGGTTCTGATCATCTGCCTCTAGTTAGTCTATAATCTCTCCATGTCATTGTACTCCTACATACCAATTGCTTTGAGAATTTTAGGACGCAGTATTCTCATAAGACTCCAGTAGGTTTCTTGTACATAGAGATGCTCAGTGGAGCGCATAACCTCAACACACTTGCCGGATACCATGCCGTCTGCTGTGAACAGCTTTGTTGTAGGGTAAACGATGACGTGAGAAACAATGCAACCGGTGTTAGTCACCCCAGGGCTATTTACAACGTCAAAAACGGAGCCAGCAGGAAACTCGGGGCCGTATACGACACGAGCATGGGCTGTTGGCAGTGTGAGTATCATGAGTGTACGAATGATTGCGTTTCAACTTACAGATGAGGATGGCTCTAAGGCACTCGTCGTATTGGATCTGAGAAGCAATATTAGCTGTTGTCGTGCAAAGACCTGGAATGTAACGGGTGATAGTTGAGAGTTGAGATTGTCTTACTAGTTGGCTTCGATCCATGACAGGAGTTTGGGTTCGATCCATAACAGGAGTGGCCATAGGTGTAGGAGAGACAAGGTTGAGAGCCACGTAGGAAGATGGAAGCTTGTTTAAATAGACGTCAGCTGCTACGCGCATCTTTGTTCTCATCGTCACCTTCACTTCAACTTAGTTTTACACAATCGCAAACAAATACACCAAAATGCCTCTCTTTGTCTGAGGACTAGCAAATGTTCAGGCCTTTCGCAAACCACCATTCCTTGCTCTCAATCTATTATCCCTCTACATCTCATCGGCCAACAGAATCGCTACGGCATAATGTTTCTCGACTCAATTATAGCCGCGCTCATCCTATGACGCATGTGTGGCGAATGGGTAGGAAGATGGGAACTTACAGAAGATCTCTACTTTGACACTTGCTTCGTACTGGGTTGAGGCTTGCTGGTTACAAATATGGGACTATGTTTGCTGTTACGGTGTCGAGTACCAAGCCAAGTTTGGAAATGGGGCCTATGCGTAGAAATTCTAACTCTGAATGCGAGCTAGTCGACATACAAGATTCAAGCACCTCTGATAAGCAACACCCAAGCATTTATTGGCGTGCATACAGATAGCACTGACAACGTAACACTTTGTCAATCTATGCATGACTTCAGAATCCACGCAAGACATACTGAGATGAGCTTGAACAAATGGCATGGCGGTGTGGAGTTTCTGCAACCGTGAATCGATCCGATCATTCTATTTGGCCAACAATTCCCGGTCATTCCTATAATTCCATGTCCCCTGTACCCTTCTTGCCAGCTAAAACGCAAACAACGAATCAGCAAGCACTTTTTCGGGTCGTTGTTCCGAGACTTACCCAAATCCGTAGATAACGCATGTTGTAACAGCAGGACAAGAGTATCCAAAGTCTCCTCGACAGAATCTCTTGGCTTAGTAGACATGAGCGGCTTCCAGTCGTTTCTGTTCAGCGGTTCATAGACGACAACATGAGCTGTGTAACACACATTTACAAGGAGATTTTCTGCCGCAGGGTCTTTCAAACTGGCAGTAGTGATGACGTCAAAGACGGAGCCATGACTGTGCTTCGCGGCGTACACTGCACGGGCATAAGCTAGAAAGAGAGGTTAGAAGTTACTGTAGCATGGGTAGGAGTATGGGAAAGTGATTGCGGCGTACATAGAATGATCTCTTTGATCCCTTTCTCCCAAAGAAGCAACTGATATTTCTGCGTGCTCATGGCTGGAAGACTCGTTGGTGATGACTATGTACGTGAGAAGCGCAGATTGGTCTGAAACAATGCATAGTGGGAAGCTAGAAGCGCTTGCACGAAAAGCCTCTCTATCCCATGCCCAAAGCACAATTGTCTTCCAGTTTGTCGCTTCTATCTCATGCTTAGCAACAAACAACAACAGCAAACGCAACCCGAGTTTCGTCTTACCCCTCATATCTTCGATGGTAGCGGAAAGACAACCGTAGAAAGGAGCTCGTTTCTCACAAGTTGATCCTGACTAAAATGTATCCTATCAGCATCTAGGTATGCTATAAGAGAGAGTGACGTACCAATGGCAGGTTGAAGATCTTCATCCTCAATGGTGGCGCAGTGTGTAATGTCACCAAGCAGCAGCGCGGCATGATAAAATCTGTCGTTTATATTCCGACAAAGTCGTCCCGCAACCAATGACTGTAAATGAAAGTTTTTTCCATTTTTCTCATTTCCTGATGCACCACAGATCTACTCGGTCACCAGTCATTCTCGTATACTCAATCATACACCCCACCATCACATCATCTTCCCCCTCTTGCGCCTATGCACAACCCACCTCCTCCCAACATCATAAACCGCCCTCGTCCAACTCCGCGTGATAATCTTCCCCTCAAACGTCCCACTAACCCAACTGAACAATGCAATCAACCCCATACTCGCTCCAAAAATCCATCCAAAAGCCACCCAATAACTCCTCATCTCGAACTCCATGTTCTTGAACTGGATACTGAAGTACCCTGTCATCAACGTCACGGGTGTAAACAAGATTGTGATCTTAGCCAAGAGGAGAGTAACCCAGGTGAGGCGCTCGACGGAGAAGGACTCCTTGATGGCGATGAGGTTAAAGTTCATCATTACAAGAGATTCTTTTTGGTCGAGACATTCGTTGATTTCGCTGAGGGCGTAGAGCAGGATTCTATCTTTCAAACGCTCAAAGCGAACGCGTGCCGCAGAACTGAGTGCTACGCCAAGCAAACTATCAGCTTCCGGGACGAGAGGGCCGGGCGAATCGTTTATCACGGGGTGGGAGGACACCAGTGAAGCGTTTCCGGGAAGGATGTGCGAGTTCTTGAGGGACGCCAAGGTCGCTTCTTGTTTCTTGAGTACGCGTTCG